AACACATAACTTAGTCTACTTATCTATCTAATATAAAGGAATATACATATAATTTTCGCAGCTTCAGATGTAGGCCTAGCTAAAATACCATTAAACATTCCAACATCCATTACTGACAGTTTCATGGAGTTGAGCAGTGCATTTCTCTTATTTGTATGTCGGACACATTCCACCAACACGTGCTGCACATCTTCTATTCTGCCACACATCTCACCGTGTTAGCTAGTTATTCGGCTGCACGGTTGGTGCCGTGGCTGGGCAACCGGCTGCCGTGCAACGTGTCGCGGGTTCGATTCCCGCACGGAACAACACTTTGTGTGATCCACAAATTGTTGTTTCGGGTCTGGGTGTCATTGTGTATGTTTGTCAACGCACCCACGACACAGGAGAAAATCCTAACGTGGGGCAACGTTTCTTTAAAAAATAAAAAAATAAAAATATTTTTATGCACATTTGTCCATTTTATTGTCAGAGCCTGGTAAGGACATTTTTCAAGGGCGCAGTTTTGAAAGCTCGCACCGGGCGCCTAAAAGGCCAGTTACGGCACTGCCATGGAAGGGCTTAATTGGTCACCAGGGATCTCTCAGCCAATCACTTTTGAGATATCACGACGACAGGGAACAACGCTATAAATCACAGTCTTCTCGGTAGGTGTATCTCCAAAATTATTGACCCCAATTAAATTTAAATTATTAAATCCAAAATGTTTCTTTCCAAAATATGTAAATTGAGAACACGTCGGTTATATTTTATACTAGCTGTTGGCCGCTAGTTCGTCCGCATGGAATACGAATTTTAGAACATGACCTTTTTTATTTCAATTTTTTCAAAACAAAAGTATCCTATTTTCGTCCTTAATACATATACATTAGCTACCCGCCAGTAATAATCCCATCAAAATCGGTCCAGTCATTCCAGAGCCAATACAAACAATACATAGCCAATACAAACAATACATAGCCAATACAAACAGACAGACAGTCAAAAATTGTAAAAAATGTTATTTCCGTAGGTATATATTTACGTGCATGTACTAAAAAGCGGTTACTTTAATATTACAAACAGACACTCCAATTTTATTTATCGTTTTGTAAAATAGAACATCGTTTTGTATAACAGAGGTATGAAGCAATTAAGGAACAGATCCTTTTGTAAAAAATCTGTGTAGGTACCTACCCCAGTGTAGTTACTCATCTTTAAACTACTGGAATTATTGGTAACTATCATCATAAGATTAAATTAAAAGATTAGATTATCGTTTTGTCACAATGATAATAATTAAAAAAAGAAAAAGTTTACTAAAGGAGAATGGCAGGTTTGTATGGAAGTTTTGTACCGCTATAAAATTTTGTATTAGTCATTGTTTTAACCAAGTGAATAGTCTGAACGATAGATATTTTTATTATGAAGTTTAGAAAAAAATTACATATTTTTAGAACTTGGGGTTCAAAAGTTATTTCACTTTGAAAATGTGCAAAAGGTATGTTAAGGTGGTACCACACTTGACATTGCGTAGTCGCTTCATTTGTCCAAATATTTGTAGACTACGTACAAATGGCGTCCAAATAGTATCTCTATATGTAATGGCGTGCAAATATATAGCAAACAAAGAAGAATAAATCCTCCAAACATGTTCTTTTTTGGCCGAACACAACAAATACGCAACGTCAAGTGTAGAGCCACCGTAAGCAAAATATCTATTACAAATGACAGATGACAGTTAACTGAAAAATGTCAATGTGCTCTCATGTGGTTGTTTATTTACAAAAAACAAAAATCTAAAAATACTGCTCGCTACTCAAGTGACTATTACACTTTGTATTATTAGAAAGAAAGAAAGAAAGAAAAACCATTTATTTTGCTACGACACACAACAAGAATTTAGAAACCCAAAAAATAACCTATGGTGCGTCGCAGCGCAAAAGGCAATTAGGAATGATCCTGTTAATTCAGCAAGCATGATGCACCTATAGAGTTTTAAAGAGTATGCCTCACAATCTTTTTCATTTCTTAGGTGCCTACGAAAATGCAAATTCATAATGTAAGCGACTGTCATTGGGTAGAAGGCCTACATTTAGCAGTGGAAGTCTTGTGGCGGATATGATAAAACTAATGTCTCACTTCACCTTGAATCTTGCAGGTAGATAGTCTCAAGGGTCTCAAGTTAATTCGATTTAAACTTAGCTTAGCTCTTTGAGAAAGTATTTCTTCTGAAAACTGGTTGCTTAGCACGCATGTAAGGATTAATTTCTAATAAGTAAGTCAAATTAGTAGAATCATCAACATTTTCATCATTAAGTCTATAAGTGGCCACTGCTGACCGAAGCCTCTTCTCGCATGGAGGTTTGAGCATTAATCACCATACTAGCTCAATGTGGGTTGGTAATTCAAACTTATAATAAGAAATTATAAGCCCATGTTTCCTCACAATGTTTTCCTTCACCATTCGTCAGCGGTGTCTTTGTACTTTCTTAGATTATTGAATATACCAATAACTCGGAAAAAAGACACATTGGACAAAAGGTACTTTGCCGTTGGTAGGTTTCGAACCCGCACTCTCATGCATGAGAAGCGGGCTTCTTAAACCTCTGGGCCACCACATTACAACTAAAGAAAATGTAAAATGAAAATGAACATTTTTGGTATAAAACTAAAGCTATCTAAATTAAATATGGCATTTATTTTATAGATTGATTCTTAAAATCACTTTTATCAAGATGGAATATATAGTTACTTACTAGGTTAAAATAAAACAAATGTATTATTTTGAAATACTTTTATTTCATTGTATTCAGGTTGTTTCTAGGAGTACTTCATCTAAAAAGAGAACAGGCCGTGTCATAGGTACAGCAGACATCAATTGCTGATATCTGTAAACAAGTAAGATAACTGTAAATAAAGTAAACAAAAGTACATTTTTTTCCTTTAGTTTTATATGTTATAATAATAAGTCTGATTCCCTATCTTAAAATGGAAAAGATAAAAATAAATATTTGATTACATTACTTCATTTTATAACATTTATTATAGTTATTCGTATAACACAGATCATAGGAGCTCAAACAGCATGCTAATTAATAAATTATAATTATAACATGAGTATAAACCTATTAGAAACCGCTTATATACTCCACATAGATACATAATTATGTAGGTACATTATATTGAGAATGCATACCTGTTGAAGCTTTGAGAGCCGAACAACATCATCCGGCCTCATCTGTTCTACAAATGGCAATGTTAAAGTGAGGCTTAGTCCATGTTTACATAATACATTACTTCCTGATAGTGAACACTGTGAGGTGGTATGTCAGGTTGTGGTTTTATAGTTTCGACTCTTGTACGGTCTCTCAGTCAGTATGGAACATGATCTTCATCATGGGAAGTAAGCTAAAATAAGTAATATTATTAGAATATGATATTGACTTTAGATTACACTGTATATAGATAATAGTATGGTTAAATTATGCTTTATTACCTCTTGTGGCTGAATCCAATCAAATACTATATGAGCCAGTCTTTACTCCTGTTTGTTGGCGCCTTCAATTAAAACCCTGCGTCACCTTATCATTGCAATGAATCACCCATATACGACACAAACATGCCAGTGACCAATTTGTTTGCTGGACATACTTTCAGCAACATCCGATACATTGCTAATTGCCAGCAAGCATTGCAAATATGGTCGGTAGGAGAGATCTAGAATAAAAAGAATAAAATGATACATTATGGGTAGATAACACTATGCGCCTTCTTTTATTCAGGCAACATGGTGACTTTCGATATGTTATGGGTAAACTAGGTACTTACATCTCTAGGATAAGTCCACATTGGGATATTGTTGACCACGTCTAATCTTCACTCTCATTTTCTAGAGCATGCCGTCTCATGTGCGACAGTGTATTAATTGCATTCAGAGTTCTGAATGCAATTAATACACTGTACTGTACCGTACTGTAAATTCATCATCGCGACAAATAACAACACACTGCACAAAATAATGTAAATAAGTGTCTTTTCGCAATTGTCACAACAATGATGCCAATAATACCAATTTGGGCTACGGAGGAACGGTTGCCAAACTCAACGTATCACCAGATGAATAAAATAACTTCAAATTCAACAAACACATCATAACATCGCATTTGAAACAAACAGCAATGCGCCAGTATTGACAAATTAATTGTCAATGTCATCAAGACAAATGCCAGTTCAACATTGCCATAATATTCAAGTTTGTTAAAATGTTAATTATCATTAATAATCCATGTAAACGTAGATTTAGATTGGATGTAGATTTTTATATTTACTTATAAAAATGTTTGAAATGGAAAGGAAAATATTTCATTGATAGATATTAAAATAAATGAGTTTATGAAATAGCGAAATCAATATGCTCTGATTTCATCTTTACGCATGGCAACTTTGTAAACGTCAATCGCGGTTCGTTTTACGTATAGTGGATTGCTTTTTATCATTATTGAATATCAGTTTTTCTAGGGTTTCCCAAGTTTTAAAAATTTATTAAATATGCTAACATAACGTACTTAGGAGGTTCTATAATGACCCAAATTTTTAATGACAAATCTTTTTTTAGCGAAGCGGTACAAAATCTGCCGTTCTCCTTTCTCTGGAAGTAGTCGTTTAAGATAGTGGTTCTAGATAAAAATGCAAGACAGGATGACAGACAATAGATAGTTAGATTGACAATGAATAGATAAATTGTAAAAAGTCGTTCATTGTTATGGTAAAAATATTTCGTCGCCATTTTTACCTGGTACTACTACTTCAAAGTAATTAGGGAACCTGTCCATACCATGCACCGTGTCACTCTTGGCTACAGTTAAGAACTGAAATCATTAAGCAACAATATTCGACATATGTCAATAGGTTAATGTTCATAGTCAGATAATCGACGTACTTCAAAATTCATTTGCTACAGCAGATTATAATAGTCTAGTTAGTCTAGTCCGGTGTGTGGTATTAGTGTAATTTTAAAAATGAAAACTCTTGTAATTATTTTTTTGAACTTTGTCGTTACGTGTAAATACATTTGTGGTTACGAAATATTAGCAATATTTCCTCACAGTGCGCGAAGTCATCATATTTATTTCACGCCCCTAGTCGAGGAGTTGGCAACAAAGCGCCATAACGTGACAGTAATTAACTACCATCCTGTGCAAAAACAACCATTTCTCCGTCAAATATCTCTGCAAGATAGACAAAATGCGAGTGCATGTGTTGATATAGAGAAACGCATGCAAGTTCTTTCTGTATCCGACTTCTCCTTGGCGTATGCGACAGCACAGGTGTTCAAAAATATTGCGAATACAAATTGTCAGAAGTTAATGAAGAATCGAGAAGTGCAGGATTTAATACGGTCACGAGCACATTTTGATTTAGTTATAGTTGAGCAGTTTGTGACAGATTGTGGATTAGCTGTTGCATACAAGTTGAATGCGCCGGCTATAGGAATAGCTGCCCATATTTTGAGCCCATGGACCTACTCAAGATTGGGTGCGCCTAACAACCCAGCATACGTACCGAACCACTTCTTTGGATCTGGAACGAAACCGGACTTATTTAATAGAATAAAAAGTGTTCTAATAAACTTCGGTATGAACATGTACTACACTCATGTGATACAGAGGAGTGACCAAGAGATTGTAAATGCAGTGTATCCCGATACGCCACTGTTGGAAGATCTAGGGAAGAATATGTCTCTTATAATGATAAATCAGTATTTTACTTTGACGAGTCCACGTTTGTACAGTTCTAACGTGGTTGAAGTTGGTGGGATGCACATAAATCCTAATTATCCCATAGAAGACAAGGTATGTAATTTTTTCTGTTTTGTATTTTAGTAGATATTATCCAGAATACTGCTGTCGGAACGATTGGTGCGTTGACTGGGTGACTGATTGTTGTGCAATGTGATTTCCGAGTCAACCAGAACAATCTGGTTTTTTTAAGCAACGAATATTTTTCTTTAAATTTACCATTAGTATCCATAGTTATATAATTCTCAGTACCTCGGAAAACACTTTAAACTCGTTGACGCTGACACTGCGCCTTTCCTCGCTCCAGTTATGTGGAATCACCATAATATCGGATTTTTTAATTAAGAGAATGTTGAGTGCGCCTTCGGTAGCTTTCATAATTGCGTTGTGGGCTAGTTTACATACTAAACTAATCGAAACCTATCGGGAGACCTTATGTATTTACCTAATTAAAGATCTTGATACCTTTACTTTATATGGAAGATTAGTGACTATACCTACAGATGTTATTAAAGATTAGCCTAGTGAAGTACTAACTAGTGAGAGTAAGGATCAGAGCCACGGTGACCGCTCACCATTCATCACACCTGTACCTGAGACTTTTAACTGATGACTGTATTTAATGCCATCGACTCTGTGAACATTTTGCGAGATTATAATTGAAAAAGGGTAATTAATCACGTTTTATGCTTTAGTGCTAATTACGATAATTAAATAATAAACATTATAATATATTGTTCATGTTTATCTAATGATGACATCATTGACATGTTCATACACTAATATTATAAAGAAGAAAGATAAATTTTATTGTTTGTTTGAATTGAATAGATTCGGAAACTACCAGACCGATTTGAAAAATTCTTTTACCATTGGAATCTTACATTATGCCTGATGAATATAAGCTATATGTAAATACATATTGTGTATATTGTATACATGTTCCCTTTTTTCTCTTATTATTTAATAAGAAGGGACCGGGATGGGATGTGTGATAAAACTACACGCTAACTCTCTACACGATAGCTCTGTGGAAATTATAGACAAACGTAAAAGTCCACGACATCATATGTCTAACTGTTACAGTTATGCCATTATATCCCGGAAATCGCAGTAAAAGGAGAATTATGTGTTAAATCAACGGGACTCTCTAAAAACGGTCATAAACCACTTGACCAATTTGAGTGATATTTAGTACAACGATAGCTTTAAGCCGGAGAAAGGACAGAAATATCACGGGACGGACACTACCCGGGTAAAATCTACGACCGACACGACCATCACGACCGACACTACTGACACGACAGACACGACGAATACGACAGTTACGACAGACACGACCGACACGACAGACACGATTGACACGACAGATACGACAGACATGACTGACACAACAACACGACAGATACGACAGACACGACTGCCACAACCGACACGATCGATACGACAGATACGACTGACATAAGTGACACGACAGATACGACAGACACGACTGACACAACCGACACGATCGATACGACAGATACGACAGATACGACTGACATAAGTGACACGACAGATACGTCAGTCACGACTGACACAACCGACACGACAGATACGACAGATACGACCGATACTACAAGAGCGACCGACACGATATGCACGACCGACACGATCGACACGACCGACGCGACCGACACGATCTGCACGACCGACACGATCGACACGACAGATACAACAGACACGACAAACACGACAGATACGACGGATACGACCGACACGACCGTCACGTTCTAAATCAGATAATTATGATAAACTCAAATAAAGAGGCACATCTATACATATATACAAATAAATAAAATTGAAGTATCCGTTTGTGATTAATATGGATATAACCGCTTTTTATTACATGAATGTACATCATACGATAAATATACCAAAATAGCACTTTTTTACGAATTTTGTCTGTCTGCTTTTATTGTAGTGCGATGTTTAAGCTAGAAATGTTTTAAGTAGGTGCGAGTAATACAACAATTCGGAATAGAATTTTACGATACTAAATATCATAATTCTTATTTTTCCAGAGCTTAATCAACTTTTTGGATTCCGTCAGCAATGGAGTGGTTTACATCAGTTTCGGAAGCGTGGCATCTAACTTTCCTCCTAGAATAACAAATGAAATAAGAAGATTCGTTGAAAAGAGCAATATGCGATTTATCTGGAAGTCGGAAATAACCGACTGGGTTCCTCCTAGCAACGTTTTTGTAGGAAAATGGATGCCACAAGCAGCCGTCCTATGTAAGTTTCTAATAATACTTTTTCATTGTAGTTATTCATCGTATAAAAAATGTCTTGACTTATTAATAAGGTCATGACTTCAGATTTTTTTATAAATTGATAATGTTTAATAGATACCAACTCGTGTCAGCGACACATGTAGATAATAGTTAAAATAATAGAAGCAAACAAAGTTCATTGCCACCACGCGTTTTTAAAAGTGACGATAATTATCTTCTATCCAGATAAATACACACTGGTCTCCAATTCCTTATGCAAGAAATAACAAAGCTTGTGCAAATTACTTGACACTCAATGAGCCTATTTACTTTTTTACATTCTTCTGTTATAGATTCGAAAGATAGAAGTGCACTCAATCGCGGTCCCCATGTCAATAGTTGTGACAATAATTTTGACCAATGACGGGCGAGAATGCGATCGAGCTCACTTCCAATGTTTGAATTTACATTTACATAATAGCTAACTGTAATGATTAGGTAATGAACTTGTAAGAAGATATAAGAATCAGAATTACACCGTCTTCTAAAAGCATATGTCTGCTTTTAGCTTAAAGCATATTGCCCGGTTGTGTCCCGTGAACGTTATAAGCTACCATATTATGCAATAAAATAATAGGCTAACGTCCAATGTTCAAAGTCAAAGCATTTGTTTCAACTAAACCATAAATTAGTATATTTGTATACGTTGACCAATATAGAATAGTCCGTCAGTCTGTTCCTCGGGGTCCATTACACAACTACCTCCAGTTACCTAACTCTTTAGAGTAAATTCATTTCAAGAGTAGGTATACATTTTTAGGTTTTTGTTTTTTTCTTTCCAGGTCACCCAAAAGTGGTTGGGTTTATATCACACTCTGGGATGCTAAGTACATCAGAAGCTATGCATTGTGGCGTGCCTATCATAAGTGTACCTTTGTTTGGAGAACAGTTTGCGAATGGAAAGTCTGCTGTCGAAAGCGGTTTGGGAGTTTCTTTAGATATATTGACTTTGAATGCACAAGTTCTTGAAGAGGCCTTACAAACCATACTCAAAGAACAGTAAGTAATGTTACTTTTTATTGCAGTTTTAGAACTGTAAGTATCTACGTGTAGCAGTGAAGTATCTTGTTGGTTTAACAGTTGTATAAAGTGCAAGAGTATGGATGTTCATGTCGTAGGAAGCGAAATAGGATAAAGATTCAGGTATATCGTCAGTGTTTCAGTGCACTTGTAAATCGCAATTTTGCGTTTGGTTCCTGTTCAGTTGTCTTTTTTTTAAGGGGTAAAATCATCGAATGACTGCTCCCGCCTGGGAGAGGCGGGAGGGATTGTCAGACTCTTACTGACTAAAAACCACCCTGTTCCTTCTCTTGCACGTCGAGCCGGAGCCCCGGTAACCCGTTACGTTCTCCGCGACCTGTTCAGTTGTCTAAATACCTGTTATATTCTACAATATCTGTAAAGTTAGCGTGCCTCACATTCCGATCAGATATAAATCGAGATGTCAGAGGAATGAGGATTGCACTAGTATTAAGACACCTACTTACATATTATGGAATAAATATATAGTGGCCATGAATTATAAAAAAATTAGCATCACTGTGATGTGAGTAGGCACAGATTCCGATTTGTCACCAATCAAAGAAAGTGGAACTCTGGATGGACAGTAGAACTGTAATATGGGTCTTCTACGAGAATGTGTGCAATAGGGTAGACCACTAATATTTATTTTAATGTACCTACGCTTGGTACACGCCGCTGGATATTTTATAACATTGAACAATGAACTCGTATTTTTTTTTCTAACGAAAACGAATACTTTCGACGATGGATTGATTATAGAAATATCGCGTACGTTTTATATGTAGAATATTGACGAAGTTAGCACCCACTCCCAAAGTTTCATTCGTTTTATCTAGGTATTATTTTATTATACGACAGAACAAAAAATATGTGTCTAATATTTTTTCATTACCTAACTGATAGACTAAATACATTTATAATTTTTATACCCCGTCATCATTCTATTGTAGCAGTTGGATAAAGCTGCTTAATCCATTTCAGTAATAGATTCATCATGACATAACTTCACGCCTTTTTATCCCCGAAGGGATAGGCTAGGGTGCACATTAGGGCACTTAATGCCACTGTACCACCCACTTTTCACTATTTATGTTATAAGTCCCATTTAATAGGGGGTGAGCCTATTGCCACTGGGCACGATTCCAGACTCCTTGCTACTACTGAGATTTTTTTAAAAAGCCCAGTAATACTTTGCCCGACTCGGGAATCGAATCCGAGACCCCTTGCCTGGCAGTCGCACTTGCGACCACTCAGCCAACGAGGCAGTCATAATAGGTTCATGTATTTCAATATCTAAGATACAATGTATTTTAATTCCAGGTACCAGAAAAAAGCGAAGGAACTATCACAGCTCTGGAAGGACAGGCCGCTGTCTCCAATGGAGACAGCCATCTTCTGGATTGAGTATGTGGCTCGAAATAAGGGTGCAGTCAACTTGAAGCCACCGACAGTGGACATGCCACTGTATCAGTACTTGATGATCGATGTGGCGTTCATAATAGCTTCATCAGTTGTAATAACTTTCTACATCTCAGTGAAAGTCTTATCGCTAGTTTTAATAGCTGTCTTTGGAAAACACAAACTAAAACGAAAGAAGGTAGATTAAGATTACAATAAGTAAGTACCAAATCTTGTTTATTTAGGTTAGGATTAACAGTTAATTAGAACGATGAAGCAATTATTTTGGAAGATTGCGATTTAGGGATGAAATAAAAACAGAAAAGTAGTATCAAATAGGCTTTTTATTATTTTTTCTTGAAAATACTCAAATTATAAATGTAAATAATAAATAAATGGACAGTACACATATTTTCTTTCCATTGGAAAGGTGATTTAGGGCCGGTTTTTCAATCATCAGTTGATTCATAACTTAAGAATATAATTGACATTTGACAGTTTTCAGTATGGAAGAATTGTCAAATATTCAAGGTTCTTCCTCAGTTACCTAAAGGATACATTTGTTAGTATTCCTAGATTACCTGAATTTAATTTAAAAGTCAGTACTATTTATAAATTAAAACACTTAACCTAATACTTCTTTATGATTGCCTGCGACTACGCACGCTTCGCCTTTTTCTTTTCAGTCTTTGTAACAACTTTCTTCTTTGATCTACACTTATTTATAACTATTCTCAATACCACGATATTTAAGACGAATATCGTTATGAGAACCGCAGCGACATCTAGATTAATGTATTGGTAAAATGGTACGTCTGCAGCTGCTGTTCTGAATGTGAAATTGGGATGCTTGGCAGCGAATTCTGTCCAGTATATAGCGGTATCCATTGGGGAGAGTGGACGATCATGCCACGCCTTAGAAACCTCTTTCACTCTTTGCCTGAATCTGAAATAGAGAAAATACATTTTAATACCTAATTTCGAATTATTAGTGGCTGGAAGACTGGCTTATAGAACTTACGAGTCGAAGTGATGTGTTCGTGTCTATAAATGTATCAACGACAACGAAAAAATTGTATAGTAGGGACTACTAATAAAAAATCGAATCCTAAAATTCGACGTTATTTTCACCTATAACCGTGTTTTGATTAAAATGCGTCAGTGTATTTTTAATTTTGCTGTACTGATATAATCTGGTTATCCCACTTATCAATTTTGAAATGGTGATTACGTGATGTGGTAGATATTTACACACACACGTGTAGGAAGCATATTTATAATACAAAGATCACCAAATATTCATCTCGTTTTAATAAATTACCGTTACCGCAAATTTAAATAACTCACCGAGATGAATTGACCTTTGATCAATTGTATCATTGTGCTAAAGATATTTTGAGAATCTGATCGTTCTATGGGAGTAGTCTTGCGATTAGCAGTTGTATCCTAGTACGTCTTTATGATGTCAACTATAAATGATTCGTTCCCTAAACTATTAAATTCAAGGAACGTTCTACTTAGATAATGGATTATTAGCTTTGAGTCCAAGTTCCCTGTACGGCACGTGCCTACATTGATAGCAATACCATAAGAATAACATCTATTATCTTTTTCACAATAAAAATCGATATATCAGTAACGTGTTTACTATTCATGTCGTCAATTAGTGATAGATAACATTGTGTTGTACAATGTTTTAAGCCTAATTAAGTATTATCATATTTATTTTATTAATACTTGACACGCATATTCTTAATTTATCATATATACTCCTTATTCATTATAATGTATTTCATTTACTGCCTCTGTCTCATTGGCCGAGTAATCGCAAGTGCAACCCAAAAGTCAAGGGGTCTCAGGTTCGATTCCTGGGTCGGGCAAAGTATAACTGGGTTTTTAAAAAAAATCTCAGTGGTAGCACGGAGTCTGGAATTGTGCCCGGTATTTGGCAATAGGCTCATCCCTTATTATATGGGACTCATAATATAAATAGTGAAAAGTGGGTGTTACGTGGTACAGTGGCATTAAGTGCCATTTGCACCTCTGCCTACCCCTTCGGGGATAAAAGGCGTGATGTTATGTTCGTAATTTAGAAATCATCTTCAGATATCTATTCTTTCTCTTCTAATACTTACTCATCTAACACAGGTTAGATGCAGGCAGGTACGTACAGACCTGCTACACACACAGTAACTAACTACATGTATAATTCCTTGACCATAAAAAGTGTAGTACTAACTTGGGATCCAAAACTTTTTTGAAAGCATTCAATAGGTTTTCTTCATTCAAGTCTCTAACTTGTAATTGCACTCCAAGGCCACTTTCTTCTACAGCTGCAGCGTTTGCAGGTTGGTCTCCAACTATCGGCATGGCTACCATCGGAACTCCGTAATGTATAGCTTCTGTCGTACCACCATTGCCAGCATGGGACAAAAATGCTAACGTTTTTGGATGAGCTGAAATTGTATAAAGAATAGTGTGTTTATAAGAATATGTCTCCTTACTAAAATGATATAATTTATTTATGTAGTGTTGTGACCGTTGGACTAATGCCATAGTTCGATTATCGCGTTATCAATACACCACTTGACCAACTTTGATTTTGTGGACACTAATGTCATAATTTGTGATATTTTGTTGTTTCATTATTACGATTATTTATTTTTGTATAATCAAATTACTTTTATTGTCTTGTAACTTTCGCGAGACATACTAAATAAATTATTATGTTTTCGGCTTACTCACGTAATAATTTGACGAGGAACTCGACTAGTTTCAAGCCATGCTATAGGCTCATATTCATGAACAGTATTTCGCGACCCGCGACGCGGCGACTGTCGCGCTGCTACTGGCTACTCGAGTCTGCGGGCCCAGCGCGCCCTCTGCCATGATTCACAATGAATATGAGCTTCTAGCATGGCTTGAAACTAGTCGAGTTCCTTGTCAAATTATTACGTGAGTAAGCCGAAAACATAATAATTACGATTCACTAGTATGGATTCATAAAACTAGATTTACCTAGAATATCGACTTGAGGAAGCCAATTGTTGGTGTACAGTTTATTTTTGTCCACCAGCAACGTCTTATCTTCCCATTTCCAAATAAATCGTTGTGGTAGTTTTTTCATAACATTTAGTACGTCCTGCACTTTGTCTGCCGGCATCGTGCTGGCTCTCACAACGGAACCAAAACTAATGTAGATCACACCATGCTCTGCTTCATCGACGAATTTCTTGAGATCCTGGACCAAGAATAATGTAACTTAATTATAGTGAAGTCAATTGCTACTAGTATGATGCTAGTGTTTAATTAGCCAACTGATACTAGTGCATATGCAATACTATTATCATGTAAATGAGAAGTACACAAAAGTCAACTTTATTTTTGCCATACCTTAGTTTGAATTTCAGTTTTCATAATATATCTTGAAAGTTGTATACAAGTAGTTTCGCATTTATTTACATGAGTACATGTAAATATGTAGTATGGTATGACTATACCATCTGATTGTTTATCAAAATATTGTTATCTTGTTCAATAGAAGTTATCAAATTAGAATAATAGCAATGGCAAGTATCTACATGAGTAACGTCTAACTAATTTTGTTTTTTGCGATTGAATTTTTTTTTCGCTCTGATTAGAGGCCAAACAAAAATAGAACCTGAATCATATTACACAACACAATAAACAAGTTTCAAGAGGGCACAAATACTTACGCCAGTTAAAGGTTTTGCGTCAACAACATGGAAACCTCCAATTTCTATTACATTAGAAGGGAATAACCTTGATCCAGTAAGTACGAAGTTGTGGTACAAAAGAAGGAATTTCATGTTTCGAGCTAAATCATCTAAGGGCGGGATGTCATCGAAGTACTTAGCAAGACTATTTTGATTATTTCTTTGAGTATAATATTTAAATAGTGTTCGGAAATAACAGTCGAATATGGTTCTTTCTACTCTTTGGTATAAAGTAGGTTTAGTTCCACCTTCCAGAAAATGGAATGGTACATAAGCTGGGTTGTAGGGGATACCCAGTCTTTGATAGTGATAGGGCATAAGTATGTGGGACATTATACCAACAACCGGAGCGTCAAACTTGTGGGCGACGCCAAGAGCACAATCACTATTGAACTGTTCCACTACAATAACATCAAACTTTGGTTTTTCCTTGATCAAACTTTGTACTCGGTCATTTTCTAACATTGTGTCACAGTTTTGAACTCCACTATGAGCAAGGAACAGGCTGACGCCCAACAGAACGAGATATGAAGTCTGGAAGGGCCCCACGCCTTCTATGGCTTCCGTACTTCCAGCCAAACTTATGTCATGATAGTTCGCAGGTGGATCTTGTTCAGGAAAATGAGAAATAACGGTCACATTGTGACCTCTTTTTGCGAGTTCACGTAAATAAACACGGAAAACGATAAAGTGACTTTTGCCTTGGTACGGAAATATTCCAAGGATGTTGAGACTGTAGGCGTAGTCTGTAAGCACTAGTAATGACAATATGGTAGCAATTAATACACTGGGCTTCATTATGGAGTATTTAAAGGCCTTGAGCGGCGCGTGTCTCGAATACTGCGCAAATTACCGCGCCGGCCGGTGTCGACTCTGTGGCCTCCGGCAGTACACTGAATCGAGATACTCGCGACTGACAAAATCACTAGCATGTTAAGCATTACAACGATCAGATGCCAGTATGCCACTATACGTAAACCTACATGCACGAGTTGTGTTTCAACATGATGACTAAACACAAACCTAGCGCTACTTTAAACGTAAACTATCAATATATATTTATATAATCTATAACGAGTTTATCAAGTGAATAAGCTATTTTTAATTTAATGATGTCGCCGTCTGGTAAAGCAATTTTATTATTTTTGCTGATTACTACGCATTTTGTATAACAACTTGGTAATGTTATGTTTTTAAAATCAGTGGTACCGTACTTACGTATATACGACGATGATTTGCGAATTTTTGATTCACATTTGTTTTAAAATTTATCTACCTAAAATAACGTGACGTTTAACAATAGTCTTGTTGGTTGCAAGTGCGACTGGCTAACGGATTGGGATTGATTGACGTATTGGTCGTTCGATCCGGAAATATCTAAACTCAACTCAAGATACCAAAATCAAAAACTTTTTGTAGGTTTGGCGCGTATTAGGTTTTTTTTTCAGAAATGTCATGGAGTGGCATTGAACTTGGCTCATGACATGGCTCTCATAACATAACTTTTTTTATACCCTGCAACTGAACAATCTGTTTCCTGGAAACTGTAGAAACAATAATCTAATATGTCAATAGATTTTATCAGAGAAATCATAACTGATGATCTACTTTTTCAGGCATTAAGAAACCGACGGCTTTAGTACGTCGTGTGTGATGTTGACTTTTGACCTATGGTTTTAAATTTCACTTTTCTAAGTACTGATAGTCATTTCACCTAATTATAGCCAACACTGTTATTTGTTATGCATGGAAAAAAATAAGATTAACGCCTTAATTCTGAAAGGCTTTCAGTTGTACATAAACATCTTGCTATCTCTGTTATTTTACAAAGAATTTGTAGTGACAGAACTGAACATAAGTACGACAGTATTTAATAAATACATAAACTCGGTAGGCAGACTGTAGCTTTTGTTGTTACACTAAATGCTGGATGGGGTTTTTAATCAAGCCATATATTTTGTAATGATTGGTGGTAAGTAACCGACCAATGGTTATTTACTGTCTCTGTAATTAATCAATCTCATTATTTTTTTAAACTTTGCTCCACACTAAGTGTGGGAGAGCCATGCTTCGACACGAATGGGCCGGCTCGACCGGAGTGATACCACGGCCTCACAGAAAACCGACGTGAAGCAACGCTTGCGTTGTGTTTCGTCGTCTGAGTGAGGTTACCGGAGGCCCAATTACCCTCCCCTTCCCCAATCTCCCAATCCCTGAATCCCCAACGATCCTCAAACTCCTAATTCCTAAAAAGCCGGTAACTCACTTGTAACGCCTCTGGTGTTCCAGGTATCCATGGGCGACGCCGATTGCTTACCATCAGGTGATCCGTCTGCTCGTTTATCAGCTTATGACATAAAAAAAACTAGGATTTCCTCCTGTCGTGGGTGCGTTTACAACATGCAATTTCACAGACATCACAACCAGACCCGGAACAACAATTTGTGGATCACACAAAGAGTTACTCCGTGCGGGAATGAACCCGTTACACGTTGTGCGACTACCGTGCAGACATATTTTCGTACCTGCATACCAAATAATGATAAATTGATAACAACCATCAGAAGGTAATTGGCGTGACTTCTGCACTTTGATCGCGTGACTTAGATAAAAAACCTGTTTACTAAGAAATGATGCCTATTAATCTGTTGGACTTATTTCTTGATTTCAGTTTAGGTAAAAATAAACTTAAGCTCTTGACAGTCACCGACTCACCACAAAAATATTTCCGTTAATTTTTCTTCATGTTTTTCCTCTTAATTTTAGTTTAATGTGTCTTGTTATCATAATGATTCGCACAATATTGATATTTATTATATCAGATATTTAAAAATATCCTCAAAGATACAGACAGACATAAATACTAAATAGATATAATAAAGTACTTTCATCATAAGTATTTGATTTAAATTCAATTTTATAAGGTATTTTTAAACAATTTTTTTTATAAGGGGTAAATCATGGAATGACTTCTCTCGCCTGGGCGAGGCGGGAGGGAGTGTCAGACTCTTACTAACTAAAAACCACCCCGTTCCTACTCCTGCACTTCGAGCCGGAGCTCCGGTAACCCGTTAAGTTTTCCGCGGCTCCTTATCGACATCAGCCTTATTGGGCCCCATCTGTCGTGGTCAGATGGCTCTTTGAGGCGCGCATGGAACGCGACGCGCCGCACGCTCGGGTGCGGGTTCTGGTCGGGTGGCGAGCTCTCCGCGATCTCCGACGCCCGGAGTGTCCTTCGCGACAAATGGGTTGTGAGGAGGCAGCGTTTCGCTGCCTCATGCGCCCCGCCTCCTCCTCAGCTAACATGCCTGCTTCGCAAAAGGAGGAGATAGCATCCCAGTCCCCCCTCGCTCCGTATCATGACGCGGACTAGGGCTGGACGCGACAGGTCGCCATCGCCGATCACATCCCTGAGGACACAGCGGTGCTCAGCCCACGCAGGGCATACTCCTACATACCCCTACTGAGTGTTCGACCGTGTCCTCAGGGCGACCCTCGCAGTGATGACAACCGGGCGTTTTCTCCCGCCTTATCAGACACAGGTACCTCCCGAAACTCCCATGTCCGGTGAATACCTGCGTCTGGCAGTAGATGAGGACGCCGTAGCATCACTCAAGCCACTCCTCAAAGAGGGGACTTACTGCTGCAATGGCAGCGAGCCCAGCCCAGTTTTCAATGGTTTTCAAACTGTTCTATTTTGTCCATAACATCTCGGGCTTATTTTTTTTCTGAATAGTCAATTAGTCATGACTTACAATATAGTGTTTCCATTTATCTACGTTTCATTCGGATTCCTTAATTAATAATAATTTATCGATATTCCATAAATAAATGTGTCACTCTTGTTTTTCACAAAAACCTTTACAAGGTAACCGTTCCGTCCGTTCCGTTCTGTTAGAAACCTTTTTTATAATTATAACACTGGATTGTGTAGTTTGCGAGATATGCGCGTACGTTCTTTTCGGTTATTCATTCTAATTGTTAGTTAGCAACGTGCATAGTATTATTCTCTAATTATTTAATTTTATTTTATACACTGACATTGGCGACAGCAATGCCATCTAACATATACTTTAGTAACTCGAATATTTCCTGAACAAGATATAGTCCAACCTGTTCGACTCTGATACCGTAGATGGCGCTGTTATCTATATTTGCTTAACAACGTTATTACACTACGATTTTTAATCTTACGACTATGAAAACTATTATAACACTACGATTTATGAAAAAATCTTATAACTACGCCAATGAAATGCCATTAGTAACCGTGAATTTTGGGTAATAAACAAAACCTTTTATTCACAACTTAACAACTTTAATATATAGCTTTACCACATGTACAGTCAGTCAAATTATTTAGAATACAGATGAAAATAATTATCAAAGGGTTGATCACAGAATGGTTAAAAATATCGACTTTGTTAAGAAGCTAGTCTTATAGTCTTTGTAATCTGTATTTTCTTACATGCATACCAATTACCTTAACCGATAGTACATAATGTGTAAAAACATACAATCAACAAAACGAAATATAAACATATATTTAAAAATATTATTTAGTCTTGAACTCATAATAACGATCTTCTCTTCTCTTCTGTACTAAAGAGATTACTGTCTTTATAGAATAGATGAATATAATTAGAATAGCAAGGATTACTGCTGTAACATCCCAGATCCTATATTGGTATAATGGTACGGAGCTGGCCGGAGTTCTGAATGTGTAGTTGGCAGTGCGTGCAGCGTACTCCGTCCAATATATGGCAGTGTCCATGGGTGACTGTGGGCGGTCATGCCATACTTTTGACAGTTCCTTCACTTTTCTTCTGAATCTGAAATAATATGGGCTAGGTTTAATATAAGTGTGTTGATATTAAAGAATAATAATTAAAGTGAGTTACCATACACATTGTATAATTGTCAGAGAACAAAGGTGACAAAAATAATTTTACAATAGTTTGATCAAAAATTGCAGTTCCACGGATGGTAGTCAAGTTGATTGTTATAGAAGTAGTGTCAATCTTTTTCTATTATAGAAGAATCAGTTTGTTAATAATATAATAATGGATTGTACTAAAGAAATAGTTTCTGTTATTGAAACTATATATGAGCATTGGTAAAATAAAAAGTTTCCAATAGAATTATGTGGGAAGTGTGGGGACGTAATTAATAACTTGTTATGGCAGAAGGTTCTCTTTAGGTATAATTTGTATAAACATGAAAATACAGAAATATTATTAAATCATTACGGTAAATATACAGGAGTCCGACGTAAACTTCTTGTATTGTGTACAATTGTACATAATATGTAAACGTTTTCATAATTCTACATTATTTAGAATTCAATTGTAAAATTAAATTGTAGCTAGCGTAATTGTATTAAATAGTAGTAATATTAAATAATGTCTCTATCAACTTAAATATGTTTAACAATGTTCATTGTATTGTTGGTGTCGACCAAGGTGGTTGCAAGCAAGGACTGGCTGTGACTCCTCTGGTAATGCGAGTGTCCATGGGCGACGCTGATCGCTTACCATCAGGTGATCCGTCTGCTCGTGTGCCTCCTATTCCATAAAAAAGGGAGTTTCTAGCTTCATTCGCAAGTTAGGTAAAGTATAATTTGGTTTTTAACTATCGAAAATTCTCAGTGATATCTACAACATAGGTTAAAAGACTTACTACATAAGACTCGTACCAAAATGTATTATTTCGGAATTAAAAAAATGTTCAAAAGATTTCACTTACTCCGGATTTAATACAATTCTAAGCTTCTCCAGCAAGAGTTCTTTAGTTAAATCTTTGATATGAATTTGTACTCCAAGGCCACTTTCTTCGATAGCAGCAGCATTGCCTGGTTGATCTCCAAATATCGGCATACCGATCATAGGAACTCCATAGTGAATGGCTTCTGTAGTACCCAACATACCACAATGGGAATAAAAGGCAAGGACTTTTGGATGAGCTGAAATTAAAAGGAAAATATTGTGAACAAATTATGTTTTTAAATAATTTTGTATTTACATAATTATGCGATTTACTACTCTGTACCTACTGTTGGAGTGTATGTTAGTAAGCCGAGAATAACCAGTACCTACGATGCAAAAAACAAAAATCTTCAGTGACTGAGTTCGAGTTCTTGTACCTACCATAATGTCTCCTTTAAGTAAGAGGTTTAAAAGAAGCACATTACCTACAATACTTTCTACTATTTTATGTTATGCTTATAGCTATAAATTATGTTAAACCATGATTTCAGATCGGTCTAGGCTTTTAGCTGAGGAGTTCTTCTTTTGTCGAGAGACACCTCCACTACCTTAAGATAAGAATTTAACTTATACTACAAGTTATATAACGAAGTAAAACCATTACTAATCGCTAATTTATTCATTGAGGTACACGTACAATATACCCTTATTTACGTCACTTTGCGAAAAATACGTTTTTCTACAATTTCGTAACAGAATTATCTTTTTTAGACAGTATAGTATAGGTACATACATAAACTACAAGCGTTGTCATTTCAAAGATACAAATGAAACGTTCCAATGATTAAAGAAATTCGATTGACTTAGAAAAACATTGTTAAAGGCAACACGTACACAAAAACCGTTTTAATTTATCTAATCGTTACTTTTCATTGCCAACTCGATTTCCAGGTCAAGTTTAGCGTAGGTACTAGAGAAGCAAATTTCTATTTAAAAAATATTAATTAATCTAGCAGATGTAGCATCGAGATAGTTACCTCGTCGTGTGATTAACAGTCAAGCATTTTTTTTAAGGGGGGAAAATTATCGAATGTCTTCTACCGCCTGGGTGAGGCGAGAGGGAGTGTCAGACTCTTACTGACTAAAAACCACCCCGTTCCTACTCCTGCACTTTGAGCCGGAGCCCCGGTAACCCGTTAAGTTCTCCGCGGCTGCGTATCGGCATCATTCGTGGTGGTCTGATGGCTTTTTGAGGCGCGAGCGGAATGCGACGCGCCGCAACATTCAATCATAGGGAAGTGCAAAGAAATGAAGTGGTTGATGCGAAGCCAGAACACTATCTGTATTTTGTTATTGTATTGTTAGATACCTACATACTTGAAATCACTTGAGTCGAGTGTATATCCGAGAACCAATGTATTTATGTATTGCATGATTACAGTTACAGCACGGACTCAAACATTTGTGCTATTCCATTCTTTGATCGACATTTTGTTTCTCTTTTCGGGTGTATTTTAACTGAATAATTTATGTAACCTATCTTTTCTACGAATATACAAAAAATATTCCCAAAATTAATTCATTTTGTACGTATTCTCACCTATTTAAAATGTATCTACTCCGTTTTAAATTACAGTGGCAAAAGTCCTATTATTTTAAGTTATTTTAGAATATATCTCCATAATGTCAGATAACAAATAAAAGTCATTGAGCTATTCAATGTTGTTCGATAAAAATTACGCCACGTGTAGACATGAAATTTTTTTGGTGTACGCCTATCATTTTGCTAATTATTTCCTTTATTTCATGAAAAGAGGGCCAACACTGTTATTTTAACTATCCAGAAGTAATCTTAGTTCTGTGGTGCTACCTGAAACCCCAACAATATTTTACTTCTCCCGAATCGACAACCCTTAGGAACCCAACCCTTAGGAAAATTGATAGAAATCAGGAAATCAGCAAAATAGTAGTCTACACTGACGCAGTACGATCCACGTTAATATTAATTTATTTTAAACTTTATCACTAAACATTATCTTGCAAAAAATTATACAGTAAGGACCCTGTGATGCAGTTCAGTCAAGTCCACTATAGACCTATTTAATAACCCTGAATCGATGTTGGTCCTCCTATCAGACAAAATATTTTTTCTGCGTAAGCCCTTAGTTTTAAATCGACGTATTTGTTGTTATTCTATGTTTCCAAACCTCTATTTTTGCTTGATAGTAACGGTAATGTTTTGGTGAAAGGGTTTTCCTTTCGGCGACCAGTAACGAGATATCTTATTACAATTTATCCTGCGGGGATATCGAAAATACTCTCGTCTGTAGTTCTGCAGAGGTGTTTAGTAACGGGTCTAAGCAAGAACTTGATATAACTACGTTCTGAAGGATAGATGGCAATCACTACATTTAGACTTGACTTTATGTTGGCAACCAGTGGTGACTCCAAAAGTAAAGCTGAAAACTGCGAAAGTTTCAAGGAGAAAGAAGAAGGAGTTTAATAGGAAAAAGGTATTTTCATTTTCTCAGAATTGATGTACACATGCAGAGTCTTATTAAAAAGTTAGATAAAAAATAAAATTTTAACAATTAATGATAAATGAGACGTCCCGAGGTAAACTGTAGGTACTCAACTTTTTATAAAAAGATTTAATCTATCATGATATTTCTTTTTATATACATAAGTAATAAATATACGTGTCATGATCATGTCGGGTGCAATCTATATCTATACTAATAGTATAAAGAGGAAAGTTTAGATTTTTTGTTTGTTTGTTTGAATTGAATTTCCTACGAAACTATCGGACCGATTTCAAAAATTATTTTACTATTGGAATCCTACATTATCGATGATGAACATAGGCTATATTTAATAAGAGAGAAGAAGGGAATCGTGTAAAAATTTGAATAATGTAGCCCGATGTTTCAAAATACTATAAAAACTCCTTATATTGATTAATTATCCATTAAGCCTTTGACTTTCAAAAGAAAACTATTTTCAAGGACTAATAATAGTATTTAGCTGCATCAGAATCAGAGATTATAAAGAAAAAATACGGATTCAATTAACTGAATACATTTTTGTACCTAACTATGTATTAAAATTCCGGGACTCTCTATTGCTTAAACCACTGAACCTATTTGAGTGCAATTCGGTACAAAGATAGTTTGAGACTCGGAAAATGATGCCTGATAGTTTTCAACCGTTGTACCTATTTGATTGGAATTTAAAGGGAGTTTTAATCATTGAAAACTCACAGGAATGGATACTATACGGGGGAAATACGGGGGGGGGGGGTTGTTTATTTTTTAAAACAAACAACATTTCACAATCGATATAACTAAATTGATTCTGATGAGATTTGTTACACCGCATTGCAATTAACCTTGGAGAAGACTAATAAAAAAATCCAAATTTTGCCAGCGGACGAAGTCGCGGGAAACAGCTAGTGATTATATAACTTTGGCAAAACAATAAGTCATCGTAAATATTTGCAAATCATGCATCAAAATTTAACAGACTAATATCATACCTAAAATATCGTTTTGCGGTAACCAGTTCGATATGAATATATTCTTCGGGTTTCCTGGTAAAGTCTTTTCCTCCCACTTCCAAATGATTCTCTGAGGTATTTCTGATACTGCGGCGATGATGGCGTCCAATTTATCTTTGGGCGTTGAGGTAGATCGTAGCATTGATCCAAAACTTATATAAACCACGCCATGCTCAGATTCTTCTATGAATTTCTTTAAGTCCTGGAATACACAGTTTTTTATAATTCATCTCATAATAGCCTAGCAGACATTATTTATTAATATTGTTATTATAATTAAGGAAAATCAGTTTGGTTATTATGCTGCAAAAATAAGGTCGTAGCCTTCTTTAAAGTTTCTCAACAACTATAGGTACTGCCTCGTCCTTATTTGAACACTCGTGACGATGAGGAAAAGTTAGTTACCTATTTTCCAAATTAATGTTTATTTCTCTTCAACTTTATCGAAGAGATAAGTCGCAGATGTTATCAACTTAGTTACAGTTCAATATATAACTGTTTACAATAGATAAGGATGGTTATCACACCTGCATGATATGCAGAAATAACTGAAGATTGTTTATGTAGGTATGTACGGTAACTCGTGTAATGAATGAATTTGATAATGATGACTTGCACTGCACTAGAGGTATACGTTGTGACTTTATGATTTACGCGTAATAATGATTACATGTCGCTTAGAGTCCGTCATTATTTGTTATCCTACCATGTGATTTGTATGTAAAAAGTACAGTTATAAAGGTGTGCGGTCTGTTTAACAATGCAGTTGGTTTATGAGGCGATTTGATAGGAAATGTTCGGGTCTAATTTATTGTTTTACATTGGTTTTAAACATTAGATGGCGAAACTGTTTAATGACACTATCTATATAAATTATTACTTTTACATAAGACAATAATTTATACAAACAAAACAATAATTTTATTTAGGACAATAATTTTTATGCCTACTAATTTAATAGATATTGCCAGGCACTTACCTGAGGCAGTTCTTTAGGTTTCGTGACGTGGTATCCTCCTACTTCACGTACGTTTGGCGGGTAGAGACCAGAGCCAGATACCACGTAATTTGTGTACAATAGTAACATTTTAACATTCTTTGCTAAGTCAGCAAGTGGCGGTACATCATCAAAATATTGTGCTAAAGTTTTTTGGTTGTTTCTTCGACATGTTAATTTATGTAAATATACTAAGTACACATGGAAAATACTTCTTTCAATTCTTTGGTATAAAGTTGGCTTAGTTCCGCCTTCTAAGAATAGCACCGGTACGTACGAAGGGTTGTACTGTATCCCGTAGTCTTCGTAGTGCCATGGCATCAACACGTGTGACGTGAGGCCAACAACTGGGAGACCAAGTTTGTGAGCTAGACCTAGAGCACAGTCATTATTGAACAGTTCCATAAGCATTAAATCAAACTTTTGTTCCGTCTTCCACAGACGCTGTACATTCTCATTTTCAAGCAGCGTTATACAGTTCTCCTGTCCAGAATTCTTCAAGAACAAACTGGTCTCTATTATAGTCCAGTATGATCTGTATATAGGAAACACGTCTTCCAATACTTTTCCCGACAACTTTATATCATGGTAGTTGTCGATCGGTTCTTTTAAAGGAAAGTATGATATCACTGTTAAGTTATGGCCTCTTCTTGCTAATTCCTTCAGATATGGTCCGAATACGAAGAAGTGACTCTTGCCTTGATACGGGAACACTCCTAAAATATTTAAACTTAGTACTTGACTGAAGAGAGCACTGAACAGGATTATTATATTATTAAACTTCATTTTAATATTAGTATTGAGTAAGTACTATGCTAGTGTGTTCATTGAAGCTCGTACGTTCGGTCTAATGAAGCGTTACCTACTGGCAGTCCGTTTTTAAATACAGATAAGACTCCCGCTCTATTTGTATCGGAGTTTTGAATATTTGTTAAATAAACACGTCCATATTAAAATGCGATTAGCTTTTTAGCCTGATGAGTTGTTTATCAATAAAACGAGTATGAAAATTAGTTACAATAGATTGTAAAAACACCGGAATAAACTTGAGACGAATAGATTTTATCATTACTTTAGAAGTTTTTTTTTTTTTTTTTTTTTTTAAGGGGGGAAAATCATCGAATGACTGCTCCCGCCTGGGTGAGGCGGAAGGGAGTGTCAGACTCTTACTGACTAAAAACCACCCCGTTCCTTCTCCTGCTCGTCGAGCCGGAGCCCCGGTTACCCGTTAGGTTCTCCGCGACTCCGAATCGGCATCGGCCCTATTGGGCCCCATCTGTGGTGGTCTGATGGCTCTTTGAGGCGCGCGCGGAACGCGACGCGCCGATTATTGTGGAGATAAGGAAACTTTTTGTAATACTATGCTAATTGAACATGCAATTATTCACCATTGAAATGTATCGGGTATTAGCTAATAGTAACAACACGTAAGGCATAATGTGTTTGATAAACCGATAGAAGTCAAATGAAGGTAATGTGTTCAATATACACTGCCGGCCAAAAGTTTGAGACCACTTGTAAAAATCTTCTTTACCGACAAAATATTTCAAAAGTGCATATGATAAAGAGCTAATTTGAATACTTGCATATTCTATTGTTATTAAAGAAAATCAAAGAGTCATTCTTTTTGTGTATTTTTAAGTTACGAAGCTGTAAAAGCCTATTTTTAAAAAACATTAATGAGTGCCGCGCACAGACCAGGTGGTAGAGTCATTGCAATATTTTTATGAGCTGCTCATTACTAATAATTTTGGTTTTGTTTCAGCTTAAAAGAAATTCAGGATTATTTTAGCTTACTAAAACATATATTTTACCTGAGTTTCTATAAAGTTAAATCTTGGTTAGTCTGAGCTCGTCATTGTTAAAGTAAAAACATTAAAATGGGTAAAGTGCGCGAAATTAGCAGTGAAACTCGTTGTGCCATAGTTGTTTTACACAACGAAGGCAAATCTGAACGTCCGATTGCCTCTCAACTTAATTTGTCAAAGACTTGTGTTCCTAACACAATAGCCCGATACAAGGAGACTGGCAGTTATCGAGATCGTTCGCGATCGGGAAGGCCGAGAGCTACCACTTCTAGCGAGGATATTTTTATCGTCGTTACCAGCAAGCGCAATAGACGCCTAACAGCACCACAAATCCGCGCAGAAGTGAACAAATCCCGATCTAAACCTGTGTCACTGACTACAGTAAAAAGACGATTGAGAGATGCTAACTTATTTGGTCGCGTTGCCGTTCGAAAACCACTACTTAGGCCACAAAACAAAAAGAAACGGATGCAGTGGGCCCTTACCCATCGAGACTGGACTGAAGAAGACTTTAAAAAAGTTCTTTGGACAGATGAATCCAAATTTGAAATATTTGGATCAAAAAGACGAACTTTTGTTCGACGTAGCGCCGAGGAAAAGATGATGCCAGAATGTGTGGTGCCAACCGTCAAACATGGTGGTGGTTCCATTATGGTCTGGGGATGCTTCTCGGGCTATGGAACCGGAGATTTGGTACGAGGTGAAGGAATCATGAAAAAGGAGCAATGTAAACGAATACTACAACAAAATGCCGTTCCGTCTGGTGTAAGATTAATTGGAAATGGTTATTTTTTCCAACAAGATAATGATCCTAAACATAGTTCAAAATTATGCAGGAGTTATTTAGAACATAAAGAAACAGAAAGGGTGTTAAAAAACATGGTGTGGCCCCATCAGAGCCCGGATCTCAACCCGATCGAGCTTTTATGGGAAGAGCTTGATAGAAATGTACGCAGTTGTTGCCCCTCCTCGCAAGAAGACATGTGGAAGACTTTACAAGAAAGCTAGAACAATATTTCACAAGAAACAATCGACAAATTGATTGCTCGTATTCCAAGACTAGTAAAAAAAGTAATAAAATGCAAGGGAGGGTTTTTTGATGAAAAATCTGTTTAAATATTAACGGCACTTTTAATGAAAATTATTATTATTTTTTTCTTGAAGTATGTGTAGGAAGAATGTATAAGTATGTATAAGTATGTTAATTATCAATTAAAACTCTTGCTTCGTATTTTATTTTAGTTTTATTTCATTTTCATTCTTTGATAAGGGTGGTCTCAAACTTTTGGCCGGCAGTGTATATGTTTATCTAAAATAGTGTTCAATAAATAACAAGATTGCCTCGACAGTTTTGTAGGGTTATCTAATACGCCTCGGTTTCCTAGTAGTTAATATCTAGTAACTACCTAGTTCCTGGGTTAGAAAAAAAAATTTGCGTAAAAAAATCTTGACGCTGGAAAGCATGTAATAAAAGACTTGCTGCGTCTAGCCTCTCCTCGATCGTGTTGGATTGTAGTTTCTGAGAGTAAGGAAGAAGGTGAGCCTGTACATATATCCATTTGTGAACGTGGATAGCCTAATTAATCGAACTGATTACTGTGATTGAAATTGATTTTCAAGATATAATAATTAATAGTGAATATTTAAGTGTTTACTTAATCAGATGATGGTTACATGATGTTTTTGGATTAACCAAAGTTTGTGTAAGCAGGTTTTAAACTAAAGTAATGGTAAAATTTCTTTTACATCTTATCAAGGTAATGTTATTGATGTATTTTACCACCACCATTAATTTACGTCTACTCTGTTCATCCCCTAGTGCTTTAGTAAAATATTTTTTTTAACGCTATGGAAATCTTCATAGATTTTCCACATCGTGCGTGCATTCGGCACAGTGTTCGTGCGCGCGTGGGACACTACGCTAACGCCCACTCCCGCCCCTATGGGTCTATATAGCGGAGTCCCGCTATATAGGGGACAACTGACACCCCTAGTCAGTCATCTGCAGGCCTCTCCTGTGGGAGTCGCAGTTCGGCTACTACCTCGTAGCGTTGACGACTACGACGACGGCCAAAAATGTTTCAGTCATGGGGTTTCGGACGGCAAGCGACGTATTACTAGGTCACAAATAAAAGGTGAAGATGTATCTATTTACTTTGTAAATAAAATTATTATTTTTTCATTATTATTATTTTTTAAGGTGTAAATATTTTAGTTTTAACATATAAATTGAGTAAATAAAATAACCAGAAATTATAAGCTAGTTTTTATGTTTCAGCTCTGACCCTAGAATCTCTCGTTCTCTTATAGGCACGAAATTTAAAATAAACCTGGGGAACAGAAACTTCAGGTGGGCCAATCATAAAGGCTCGGCTTGCCGCAGTTTGAGTATAGCTGATTTACATCATAGCAACATAGAAACCTAAATAGATTACGGACCAAATATTGTTTGTCTAATAATGGTTTAGTATCCTATAAAAACTTAAACATTGTACTGGAAAATGTTTTCATATTTCTCAACAAGAGCATATTTCATTTCTTGAACTGAAGATTGCACTGCAAAGTTATGCCGTGTAACAGAAATTATGACTAGGTACAATGCAAACAACAAAAGTGCCATGTAATTTATAAGTAACATAATAAATGTTTGCAAACGTTATAAATGAATCACAACCCCATTCCACATTAACTTTTTATTAACAAAATAAATAACGAAATTGTAATCTTAAAAACCATCCATAAAATTGTACTTTGACATTCACATTATACAAATTAAGTCAACTTAAAACCTATGAGTATTAATCTTTATTCGAACTTCACTCTTTTTGAGGACCTTGTTTCTTCAACGAACTCCGTTTGCGGTTGATTTTGGCAACAACAACAGCAGACTACAGACAAAATCTTGCAGACTACGTAACTTAGGATGTACAGGACTAAGCCTATGAAGGCCAGGACATCTAGTTGAAGTTGCTGGTAGAAGGGTGCTTTAGGGGCTCCAGGTTGAAGATTCGGGGCTCCTTGGTACCTGGCTACATACTCCGTCCAGTATACTGCTGATTCCATAGGCGACATGGGACGATCATGCCACAATCTTGATACAAGTTTTGCACGGCGCTGCCATCTGTAATCGAATGATAAGATAAAGTACTTCATATAGGTCAATATTTTGATTCCGATTCGAGGTTTCGGAGATATCGGGTATATTTGTACATTTCCGATGTGATTGTATATTGGTGTATTAGGTATGATAAATTATGAGTAATTATGGTTTTGATGACGCACTGCCAAACAAGGAGTTTTGGGTTAGACTACACGTCATAAATAAATAATAAAAAAAATAAAATAAAATGGCAATCAGATTTTATAAATATGAAACCTGATTGCCATTTTTCTGTTTTTTTTTTGTACAAATAAATCTTCTAAAATATTAATGCAATGCGAGTTTAACAAAAGTTGATTTTTATTATTTTGCTCGTTTAACTATAACATTAGCTTCTGCCCGCGACTTCGTACGCACAGTCGCGTTTTCTCCCGTTCCTGTAGAATTTTCAAGATTTTTTTCGTCATAAGAACCTTTCCTGATAATAATAAACACAAAAAGAAAAAAATAGTGACATCGGTGCAGCCGTTCATGTGTGATGGCGTGACTAAGGGATATAGGGATTCATTTCTATATATACATACACATGTATCAACCTATAATAATATATTTTAGAATAATATGATTAAAATAAAATAACATTGTAACCTTTTGCTGTCTTTAACATTTGTAAAATAATCTGTCGGTAATCTTATAAATCCGGTAGTTTTTGACAATCTCGTTATAGATTTAATGCTCTTTATTTTGATTCCGAGGTCAACGTTAGATTATTTTGTTTTTCTATTGAAATACTATCGAAGAGAATTTGGAACTCTGCCCGATAAAGTTTTATGCAATTATGTTTCTTATATGCATAATCAGAAAGTTGTATTTTGCGCAGTATAGGCTGTTCAGGTATTGCCTCGTTTACAAGAACTTGATGTACCTAAAATTAATTTCTTGATATTGATATGTACTTTGCATTGCCACATTGTTTAAATGGTTGCAAATGTGAGTGCCAAGAAAATTATTTAGGGTTCTATTCCCAGAACGACATCTCTGTAATAGTCCACTGCAGTACTTTTCTTTTGAAAGAAGGCAAAATCGCCGGCTTACTTCTCCCTACCTACCCAGGGGCGAGAGGGAGTGGCTGACTCTTACTGACTAAAATCACCCTGTTCCTATTCTTCAAACCGGAGCTTCACTACCCTGTTAAGTTCTCCGCGGCTCCGTATCGTCATCAGCCCAATTGAACACAGTCTATGATGATCTGATAGTTCTTTGAGGCGAGCGCGGATCGCGACGCGCCGTACGGTCGGATCTGGTTTTGGTCGAGCGGCGAGCTACCCGTGCTCACCGTCCGCAGGCCCTTATGCCAACTATTCATTGATAAAACCTGTGGATAAAACACTGAACTTTGCTGAGAGTATGACAGCAGGTTCTGATGACCTAATCCAGACTCATAAAATATTTTAGGAATGTCTGCATGTGTCCCTAAACTGAATTTTATGCAAGTGTTTCAAACTACATTCATTACTATGGCTCTTTTCGAGGAAATGGACGCAAAATTATGTAGTTTATCCCGTCATTCACAAGCCAGAATTGTAGACAAAGCTAACTTTGAACTACAGGCTAGATAGTTTGCAGAAACTTGTAATATAGAATATTTGAAACTAGATACATGGTGGCGTGAATTAACCGACATTGTTTAGATAACATTACATAATTGAAAGTTGATCAAACTGGGTCAAGTTCGGCCAGCATTGTTGATATTTGAGGCCTATATCTGAGACTAATATTGTCACGCATTTTAACCTTTTTACTGGCATTTTCCAGGGTCCACGGTCACGTGTAAAGTACGTATTCTTTCGGATTTTTCAAAAATTCTTTGCATCAGCAATGAATCTGGAAATGTAATTGGTGTGTATTAATAATGGCTGCACTGACTTGGCTGCACGGTTTGATGCAGTGGCTGGGCAACCAGCTGCCGCGCAACGAATTCACTCTTTTTGTGACCCACAAATTGTTGTTCCGTGTCTGGGTGACATGTGTATGTAAACGTGTGTGAGTGTAAGTAAACCCATGAGACAGGAAAAAACCTAGTGTGGTAAATGCATAGAGAATGACAAAAAGAAGATCCTAGGGACCAGCTCAACTTAATAAGAGCGGATATTATTCCAAAGAATAAACTGACTTCGTAATATACAATATATAACGATTATATTCCCAAATGGCGAAAATACTAGATAGAAAAGGCAAATACTTAATTGACATTTAATAAGATTTCTAATAATAATAATGTAATAAGATGGCGTTTGGTCACCTCGCCTGGTGGTTAACAATGATGTGGCCGAATAATGATAATGCTAAGTTATAAAGTTAAAAGAGGAATTGTGGTCATAAACACCTAATGAGACTTTTTCGATAGGCCGTGGAAGGCTAATTTGTAGTAAATTGTTTGCTAATTCAAGTTAGTACGAACAACACAACCGAACATTGAGATCGATGTTTGTCATAATGATGTCATCGTATCTTCGCAATGTCACGAATTCCTCAACTTGTATGACTTTCCAAAATTAATTATTAAAGACTTATATGAAATAGAGTTGGTGTTCACTATGTAGGTATGAATAATTAGGTTCACCTCTATTTTGTGACTTTTTTTTATTTTTCACGTGTCCTTGTAAACCTCCTACAGAAAGGGAATTCATACCTTAGTATAGTATGATTTAAGTTAAATTTTCCATATTTATTTAGTGGCCAGAATTGTAATGATTGTTAAACTTATTTGCATAACTAACATACCATGACGGTCATGCAAGACGCTTCTTATTACCGTAAGATGTACGTACTAAGTAGAAGCCCATAGGGCAGTGCTAACTATAGCCAGCTATGTTATAATTTCCATGTAATAAGATACAATTATTTGTATTTGATGATATATACTTTTGCAATTTATACTTTACTCTTTCGATTTTAGGTACTCTTTACCCTGTCGGCGGGTATCGGAAGAGCCGAATAAGGGACAGTGCATTTTGACAGCGACCGAGCAGCAGCGATCTCTGACAAACCTGCACCTTTTAAACTATAATTTGTAACTCGTCTCCCAAGTATAGACATTATTTTAAATCCCTCTTTTACAGAAGAGATTCATAGTCCAACTAGGTCTCTCATAGGCTGCTGGTGATATAAAGATTCAAGAGACAAGCGCGTTCTCAGGTACAGGGAACTAATTGCATACCACCAATGTGTATGATTTTATTTTATGGAATGTGCCTACGGATACAAACGAGTAAACGAGGCTACGGATCACCTGACGGTAAGCAATCGCCGACGTCCATAGACGCCAGCGGTGGTACAAGTGCGTTGCCGGCCTTTTGGGTATTAGGAATTTGAGGATTGTGCGGGTTCGATGATTGGGAAGACTGGAGAGTTTCCAGTAACCTCATTCGCACGACGCAAGCGTTGTTTTAAGTCGGTTTTCTGTGAGGCTGTGGTATCACTCCAGTCGAGCTGGCCCATTCGTGCCTAACCATGACTCTCCCACACTTAACGAATGAATTACTTACACAGGGTCCAAAACTTCATTAATAGCATCTAAGAGGTATTCTTTCTTGAGATCTTGGTAGTGCACGATGGTGGCCATCCCAGCGTCTTGTAGAGCTGCCGCATTGCCGTACTGGTCACCGAATAGTGGTATCGCTACCACTGGTATTCCTGCGTCAATGGCTTCTATGGTGCTCAGGATTCCGGCGTGAGACACAAACGCTTTGATGTTGTCATGTTCTGTAATTGAGAGTAAACGATTATTGTGGTGGTGTGTCAATTGTGGTATGTTTGGAACATTTTGTGTTGAAAAACTTCTATTGCTTCTGAACTGGTTCCATTTCACGGCAGACTTTGGGACATGAACATGTATCCATCAGTACTTACTAATAGAATAACACAGCTGTACATGTAACTTGTGTTTTAGGGTGTGTACCTAATAAAGTTTTTTCTTTCTTGTTTTTTTTCTATTGCTAATTTAATAGAGTTTTAATAGGGAACGTATACGGTTAGATATTAGAAAAATAGTAGGCAAACCTACAGGTAGTATTTGTGTTAATTAAAATCCTTATTTTTTTAAATCTACGTATAAATATTGGTCTAATATGAAATTTATCAAAACATTATCAAAATAAAACCAACAATTTTTAAAAGGACATCTAAAATGAAAAGCTTAGTAAAACAAATTATAAGATAGGTATCTGTTATATTATTTTGTTACTACCTATTTCTAATATCTTTTGACGTAGCAAGAGATAAAATTAATAATTTATTTTATCTGTTGTAATTGAAAACATACGTAAACGTGTCATGTTTGAATTATGTTTATCATATCAATTATACTTTTGTAGGCAGTTTAAAATGGCAATTATTGTTAAAATAATTATACATAGGTATTATCAGAATGAAGATACATATTTATAGATGTTATTTTATCTGTTTGTGGAAATGTTCAATGTAGAGTAATATAAATCCAGTGAAATCTAGAATCTAGAGTATCTTGCCCACTTTAATAAATGGCACTATAAATTTTAATTATAAGAGTACATAGAAACTAATAATGAGTCAATCCTATAATTTTCTTTTCTATTTACTTACTCGTTCGACTTTGTGTTTATCTAGGAGGTTTCTTACTGGTTATAAAGAATATAAAGTAAACAGCCAGTACCAAAAGATATGAAATTATAAACGTATATAATTATCTCGTGTTGTTTATTATAATTTCATTGCTCAGTATTTTTCATTAGTGCTATACTTTCAAATGCAATGTAATGTCAGCAATTTACTTTCCATTCATGTACATGCAGTTACCGTTATTAATAAAACCACAAGCCTTAATAATATGAAACACAAGTGTGCAATACTTACTCAAAATATCGTATTGTGGGAACCATCTCATAGTCATAACGTTTCTCGGCAGTTGTAGATTGTCTCCGTCCCATTTCCAAAGGACCCTTAGAGGCAATTTACCGAACGTTGATAACAGTTCGTTTAATTTATCACCGGGAAGTGTGGAGTCCTTTACCGTAGAACCGAGGTTCACGTATATTACACCGTGCTCGGCCTCGTTTATAAATCTCTCTATTTCCTGTAAAGTGATAACATTGAAAGATGACTCGATTGTGTAATCATACTGTTGTTAGGGTACCTGTATGAAGAAAAGAAGTGAAAAAGATTTTATTATAGACCTACGGTTATGTACTTGAACTATACCGTAGTTGAATATTCATAATTCAAATATCAGAGTTAATCGATATCGTATTTCAGCTTCCATATCGTGCAATTTAATACTCAATCTATTCACATGTATGTTTACAATACGAGATTTAAAGTAGGACACAGTAATAATTAATTATCGACGTTATGTTGACGCTATCTGTAAATACAATCATCCTTAATTAATGTTAATACTGCTTCCGATATGTTCGGCGATGTGGCACAATGCAAACGTGATGCTCATCACACATTTAGAATACTAAACAAACATCATACAACAATGGGTACGTTTGTTTACATACAGATTGACAAAACAACTCACCGTTGGAATAATTTTCGGTGGTCTCATATGAATACCACCAATATCAATTACATTATCAGGCCTGGCAACACCGCCATACACCGACTGATGTGTGTTTACAAACACTAGACTCGCGTTGGACGCAATACTTTCTAGTGAGGGCAGGTCGTCACCTAGATACTTGTACAAGTACACATGGTCTGTCACTTGCGATCCAACGTAATATACCCAGTTCGTAATGTGATACAGTACGTAGCTCTTGAGCCGCTCAAAATACCAAGGTTCCTTTCCGTAGGGCAGGCCAGATTGAGTTACATACGCAGAATTGTAATTAATACCCAATCTATTGTATTGCCAGGCTTGTAGTGGTTGTGGGTTGAAGGCAATGTAAGGTGCACTTAAGTTTGCGGCCAGAGCTAAGGCGCAGTCACTGTTGTACGACTCTACTAGTATTACATCGAATCGAGGCCGCGTCTTTATCATGTGCAGCACTTGGTGGTTGTTCATTAGAGTCTTGCAGTCATCGTTGCCTGATTTAGTCGCTACTAATGTTTCGAACGGCACTCGCGACACTTCATTCACTATCACAGATTCATAAGATAATCCTTTAAAAACATGATGTAGAGCATCACTTAATAACACTTCTTTGTACGTAGCCGGCGCGTCCGGCATTTGGAAATGGCTGATGAGAGTCACTTCATGGTCACGGTTTGCCAATTCCCGAAACAGCCCGCGATAAGTGAGGTAGTTGTTGCGATCCAGCGACGGGAAGACGCCGAGTATTTTGTAACAGTCCGTAGCAAATATTGTCGCGATGAAATAGAAAACGAAAATTGTCTGTTTTGTCATTTTGAATGCGGACGCGTTCGAGTTGCCGCACAGTTTGTTGGTTACTAGGGCGTAAATGGAAGCTCGCTTACGTAGCTATCTAATAATAGGTAGATGTTATGAGGTAACCATGCCGCTGACGTCACGATAGTTTCGTAAGAAATAGAAATATTCGGTGACTACACGCAAGGCATTGGTCATGACCTCGATGTGTGCGAGTGCGAGCGTGTGCCTGCAGCGGAGTCGGGTTTTGTACTGCAATTACAAATATGGATACATCATTAAAAACATAATGTATGCACTCTTGCGATAGGTAATGTTTATACAGACATTGTAATAAATTATCGACAATGTGGACTATCAATATTGTACCTCTACTAATTCAGTCAGTAATTGCATAGTGAAGTCGAGTAGAAATATTTGATTTTAAAAAGCGTTTCTGATTCACGCGACTGCAAATCATTAACTTTTCATTTGAAATATGGACAGACGTCGCAATTTGCAGCACTTAAATATGAATTTATTTGACAAGATCATTTGGTATTTCGGATTCTTACTCACGTGTGTGTGTCTTTGTTGATGTCGTAAATCCAAATAATTGGACTACAGCTTCAATGTGTGTGCTTATTATGTTGCTTATTTATGCGTTCGGGGGTCAGTAGACTGGAAACTATAGTGAGGCGGCCAAGCGCGACCTTACGATGTTGCATCACAAACAACGCTATTGTTCCTGGCTGCTTAATAAACGGACACACATTAGAACGTACCATCACTATTATCGTATGTTGTCTCACATTTGTGTCATATAAACTGAATCTATTTGATTTCTTTGATAGATTTCCTTAATATTGTTCGAGATTCCTAATCTCTCCAGTGAAATGATATCTATTATCTACTGGACACACCAGCGAATTCACCAGTTTTGAGTTTTTACCATATTATTTGTATTGGTATGTTTGGTACGGATTTGTGGTGACTATGAAACCAGCAATAGCTTGACGTACGCGCTTACCAAGGTAGAGAAAGTCGACATTGACGTGCGGTCATTGCCCTTACCGCTACAGGCTCATGCGCTTACTGGCCATTTATTTATTTTTTTAATATTCACTAATATTTTCCGCTTATTACGAAACCAGTATCCAGCATATTTGGTAACTTGATGGCCAGAATGGCTTTTATTTAAATTGGAATCGAAAATATCTATGTATAAATTGTACTTTTGTATATTACTTTCTACTGGAATTTTTTTTAATAGAAAACGCAATAAATTCTCAGAAATATCGTAAAATAATATTGACCTATTTCTCGAAATGTTAGTTATAAGTATGAGTAGTTTGTGAATAACTTATCAAAATAAATACTCTTTCCTAGGTTAAAATTTTGTTTTTCCAAGTCTGTACGTACTACGTACAATACGAAATATCTAGTCTTACAGTAGTTTTTTTTTAATCTTAGTAAAAATTCTTAATATCTTAGTTAATTATTTAAAACAAATAACTCACTTATGCAATATTGGGACAACAAGATGACATTTATTTACATTTTCTATTTCAGTTTTTGGCCTAACATGTTAAGTATTCAATATAACAGCCGATCGGTTGCCAATTCAATACTCAGAAGCTCTCAATTATTAAGAAAAAAAAGCAAAACAAATTCATCTTCCAACCAATGAATCAAATCTTATGTTGATGACGATAGCTGTGCTCATGACTTCATGACCACAGTTCTTTAGAAAGTGGAGAGCAATTAATTAGGGACAGTTTATGTGCATGAAAGTGAAATAAGGATAAATGCATGTCAGTTGTGTTTTGCATACAAAACAACGGTACGTCGCCAGTTCGCCACCCGGCCAGACACTCTCGTACGGTTTCCTTTAGGGCTGCCGCTTTTAGCTTTTATAGTTTCTATGGAGTAAAATTATTTTGTGACCGAAGAGGAATGCATTCTAACCGACTTCAAAAAAAGAGGAGGTTCTCAAGTTGACCTGTATGTATGTTTGTGCGCGAATATCTCGCAATCGGCTGAACCGATTTTGATGCCGGTTTTCAGAAAAGTGTTTAGTATTAGGTACACTTAGGAGAAGGTTTTAGTATTTTAAACTGCCGGTTAATAGTTTAAAAAAAGAGGGTTTGAATTTGGTTTTTTAAACGAAGTTTATAAAATAATTGGGCATCGTAAGAGTCCATTACTTCATATTTTATTTCATATTTTTTATATTTGATGGGTCGACGTTTGACCACTATCTCGCCTGGTAAGCGATGATGCGGTCTACGATGGAGTCATTAATGGATTACACATTTGATAGACCGGGTAGCAGCGCCCTCTAATAACCCTAAACCTTACAAACTGTGATTTCTAACACGACTGAAAATCGTGTAGATTCTGGAAAGTTCTTCTTATGTATAGAAGGCCAGCAGTGAACTGCTGATGTGTCAAAGAAGTTATAATACCTAACTATCGCCTTCAAGATTAATTTTAGCAAAGGTCTTTTTAGCTTATTGCCGTCTCCTTGGCTTCGCATATTTCTCCGCCAAGAATTATCGATATCGATTCAGCAGAATTAACCGTAAACAATTAGATAATCATAAATGGCGATTTGAGCAGAAATATTAGTTAGATTTCTCACGTATGGAAATAATTAATAAGGTTTGTTTAGTTATGAATATTCAAATAGTTGCATAGGTACGAGTTGTTATTTACATAATTATTTATCATTAACAATATTTAACAATAATAATTTATGTGTCGGTATTGTATGGAGATAAATGTTTGTGTAGCTGACACAATAGAAACTGGAAATTAATTATTCAAATCAATTTTACTTGTGTACCTACATATGTCTAACGCCCCAATACCTACTGAAAGGATACTTATTTTAAAATGTACCTAAATATGGTGCCATGTCTGTTATTTAAAAAGAATTTATAGTGTCAGAACTATACTTAAGTGTGACTTCAAATTGAATAACGTTTGAGTATTTGTTAACAAACTCTCGGCTTCACCTAGCTTCAATGACGGACTGACTGACAGACTATTATGTATTTGTTGCCGTTTCAAAGTACCAAATTATTATATAAGGTTTAATCGAAATAAATGCTTTGACTTTGACTTTAGTCCTATTCTTAAGACTTCAAATCAAGCAGCAGATTAGGAAACTCAACTCGGCAAGACTTTGTCTTCGTTAATATTACAAAATAGATAAAAAGAGGATTTTTTTTAATCTTTATTAATTTAACTGAGATTTGGTCAAACATGGTCATGCCATTCCTATATTAGAAAGAGATAATGTTATAACTATCAGTAGTACCAGCGCGACAGTCGCCGCGTCGCGAGTCGCGGAATGCTGCTCATGAATGCCTCTAGCATGGCTTGAATCTAGTCGACTTCCTCGTCAAATAATTACGTGAGTAAGCCCGAAAAACATAATAATTAAGATATGTTAGCCAATTTGTAATATAACTTTGTACCAACCCTACAAGTTGGCAGAAAAACTACAGACTGTTGGATTAGTAGGAATTATGGTCTATTACTTAGGCAGTGTTTACTTGTAACCTGCTTACCCGGGATTTAGAGGCTTTGACGTCAGGCTTGTACTCAGTTACCCGCGTATTGTTCATTGTGTTCATGTAGTATTTCACGTCAAGGGAATGTCAAAATTGGAGCTTGGATGAATTTGACGTGTTACAAAGATCATGGTTACCATAACTTGTAACATCAGAGGTATTTGTTAGCATTTCTAAGTATTACATCATCATCATCAACAGCCTTTAAATGCCCACTGCTGAGCAAAGCCTCTTCTCACACGGAGAAGGTTAGAGCATTAATCACCACGCTAGCTCAATGCGGGTTAGCGATTTCAAACTTATAATTAGAAATTATAAGCCGAGGTTTGCTAACGATGTTTTTCCTTCACCGTTTGTCAGTGGTGTCTAAATAATCTTAGAAAGTACATATAACTCGGAAAAAGTCACATTGGTACTTGCCGTTGGTAGGTTTGAAGCCGCGCCCACGACAAGTATTACATAACATAACATAACTGCATAACATCACACCTTTTATTCCCGAAGGAGTAGGCAGAGGTGTACACAGAAGTAACAACCACTTTTCACTATTTATGTTATGAGTCCCATGTAATAGGGGGTCAGCCTATTGCCATATATCGGGCACATTTCCAGACTCCGTATAACAATTAGACTATTACTAGTAATGTCGTATACACAGATATAATTTTAATATTTCTGTGGTCGTATACATCACAGAACATATAAAGGTATACATTCAGTCAAGGGGTTGTTTTCTTTGAGATTGGTTAAGTAAATGCGATTACCTAAAAGGGTTTTTATTCGAATAAAACTGGTAATATGTTGTGTTTAAAATTGTTAATATATTTGGTCATTTACGTTTACATACCAAATTCATAAAGTATCAATATTGTTGACCTATATTTATAGGTAACGCCTGTTTAAAACAAAAAGCAATAATTCGTTGCGAAACATAATTATAAAATATTCAAATTTTATAAAACTCTGTCATTTCATAACTTAATTTTCCATTTAACTTTCTAAAGTACTTTTGAATTCTATATCGAGTATTATAGAATATTCTCTATAGAATACGTATATCTATATCAAAAGGGCTCGAGCCCAGAAAGAGATCTGAGCGAGTTCAAACCGCAGGCGAGTCTATTATATTCGCATTTGTAAGAGGCATTAGCACGAAGCGAGGCTCTTCGACAACATAAAAATGTAATTACAAGTGGGAAGTTCGCGGCCCACTTAAATATAGATTTACCCTTTGAAGAGCGATTTGATGGGCCCGTGAGGTGTTAGATCAATCATATCTCGATTGTGCCTACTCCCAATTATTCCCTCCTCAGAATTGATAACTTCATTCATTTTTCAAACGGCTCACTCGCCTGTTTTTCGGATATTGATATATTTGTTCGAGCTGTGAGGGAGGAGTGATTTGCTAAACGACATTCTATCGTGTTTACATTTTGTTATTTATTACGGTTTTACTTAAGCGTTTTTTATTACCTTTACATATTGTATTTTTATGTTTTGGATTATTTTCCATATTTTCTTGAGAATTTCAAATGGTAAGGCTGAATTAATAACCAGAATTAGGACTGGCTAAGATCTGATAGCTCAGTGGCTAGAATGTCGAGATGGTGAATGAGAGACTGCAGTAAGAATGTATACAATTTGTATTGTAGAAACTTATCGACTCATAGGTATAATAAAGAAGTATTGACTAGTATCATGATTTAAAGACAATGTTGATTTTAGGATATAATTTATTTGTTTCTATTTCACCCATCAGTTCCATTATATGGAATGAATCCAAGATATGAAAGAAGTGACTCTTGAGAAGCCTGAAGGCAGGCCAGCTTGGCAACCTGCATTCGCTGTGAACGAGCCGATACCGATCTGTAAGGGAAATAAACCAATTAAATAGAAGGTTTTAATTAGAGCCATGGATAGGAAAGATAAAGAAGTAGTCTTTGATTTGTCTCTGTGTAACTAAGAACAGTAAAAGTTTTCCTGTTCGCAATTACTATTGTTTTGTGCATGTTATTCTAATAGATGCGTTTAGAAACATATTTAGATACAGAAATCAATACTGAATCGCGAGAATCGCATTTGCAACTGAGAGTAACTTGAGGATTCAAAATTCATATGCGAGAAATTATAAAGAATCAAAAAATTTTAGTATAGTGCTCGATTCTTGATAATATGTATTGTACTGGAGATTTATACATACTAGAACTCTTCTATTATTAACAGTAGTGACGAGTGGTCCACCGGTGTCTCCACGACAGATGCCGATTCCTCCAGCGCCACTGGTACAGAGGTGGTGGTTCTGGATGATATTGCCGTAGCTGTTTCCGCAGACTGAGTTGGATATCACTTGCAAATTCACTGAGCTGATCGTTTGGAGTAGGTTAACGCTGTCACCTGGAATCATTTTGTACATTGGTGTAGTAAGATAATGGTAACATGAAAGTAAGTACTGATTCTTCTGCCTTCAAATGAAGATAGTAATAATAGGTAGTCTGATTCTAAGGCAACATCCCCTTAGAAAACCTTTTCTGGAAAAATCACTAACGTAGATGTAGTTGACAGTACCGATTTCATTAACATAATGGATGAGTCTATTACTGTTTTCCAAACATAATTGAATCGAAAATCAACAAAATTGACAAAAATGGTAGATGTGGGTCACATTACTGATCATATTAAGAAAAATGTCAAAATGTGATGAAAATATCAACAACAGATATTGCTGGAGGGCCTCGAATGCATGTTACTATTGATTGGCAAATGTTAAATAATAGTAATAATAACATTGATAAAACACAAACCGTCTCTAGTTATTCCATAGCCAGAGGCGAGAGCGGTGCTTCCGACGAAATTCGAGTTGAGTTCGCTACCCGATGGCAAGTTAATTGGTTGGATTTGCACTGGAAAATAAACAATATTTATTTATAAGAATGGTGTTGATTCTCTTTTGTTCAATAGAATGAAATTTCAGATAGTCTATAGGTTAACACGTTATTCGTTTATTTTCATTAAAAGTAGTTATTACATTTTGGTTTACATCTATTGCAATGATAAGATAATTACCAACTGATGGGAAGAACAACTAGTAGTTTTCATTAATAAATTGGAGATTTAGCTTATAATTTTCTTAAAAAGTGGTTTCATGTCGGAATTAGTGGAGGATGAGTGTAAGTGACACCTTTTTTCTGTTCCATACAGACTAAAGATTATGTAACAATACTAGAAGTTTCTAAATTGATTATTCCAATAATATTTTTAACTTTACCTGACATGAAAGTACTAAACAAGAAATATAAACTACTTACATGAAAAACTGACTCTGGAAATACGTAACACAGCAATATCATTAGCAGCTATCCAAGGGTTGTATCCAGGGAATATGGCAATGCTGTTTGTATCAATCCTAGTACCACCAGAGAACAAAAAGTTGGATCCAAGGATGACTTGGAAGCTCTGAGCGATATTGTTACCGTCGTTGTAACAGTGAGCTGCTGTAAGTACCCTGATATCAGATATTAAGGTACCGCCACACACTGATGTTGATATAATGTTTAGTCTTATAATTAAACCAGCCTGAAATTAAAATAAATTGTTTTAGGATTGCTATGTTTTGTCTATAGTTGTCGTGTAAACTTTTTAAAAACAATTTGCAGGTTCATTAACGAATGAAAATAATTCAATTGTACTTGATTTGCTAGTGCTTTCTCAAAGGGAGGATGGATGTTTCTAGAATTTTAGGCCTGTGTCTTATATTTATGAATTGCGATAAAATAACGTGTATATCGATATTTATTATATTCATTAATTTATTTTATTGTTGTTGTATTTGAAATGCTTTTCCTGTCAGTTTCTTTAATATGTGATTCTCTTACCTGGTATGGTACTGAGAGAGTAGTTGTAGATGATCCTCCGACGATTCTACCCTGGCCCTTTTCTGCTGCTTCTCTTTCTTGCAGTTTAATCTTAAAAGCTGTAGGTATTCCAATTCTTCTATGGTAGTCGTACACGCCATTTGGTAAAGGATTTTCTGCTCCTATCACGACCACACAGACCGATATCAACACTAATGCAATCTTCATCCTGTTATGTGCTGGTTTTTCCTAAAATGGATTAGGAAAAACAATACCAGCCTTTAAGAACATGAACAAATCTATAATATTTTTAGATAACGAGTAATTATTTGATTTATCAGGGCATTAAAGTATTTTATCAAGTAATACGTTGCATACAGGTGAATTAATTGTATATATGTTGCAGGCGAATTGTATAATCCGCCATGTTACATTGCGACTAGCCATTTAGAAAAGTAGGGCCGTTTTGGGATACGGCGACTGCACGATTAGTCAATGCGAAACGTTCTACAATATGACGGCACACGTTTAGCCTCATTGTTATTATTTACCAATGGATGGTCTGGGTCCCCCAGATTATCATATTTTGGCTATACAAAGTTATCAACATAGTCGTCATGGGTGTCGTTTTCGTGGTTTTTGATGGTGATAAACTGATGATGCTGGAAAAATGCAAATCCAAGATGGCGGCGGCACAATTTTTTTATACTATTACTTATTCGTCATGGGTTTCGTTTTCGTGGTTTTCGAGGGTCGTTATAGTGAAGTCAAGTTAGACAGCCCCTGGTATGCTCAACGGCTAGCCGTAATATAATACGGCGGATTATACAATTCGCCTGCGACATATAGATATAACATATTTTATGTGACGTATTAGTATTTTGAATAAGGTCAGTAATACATAATTGTGTATGTATTCATGTCCGTAGTGTTTATTTACGAGATTTTTGTATATGACCAAGGGTCTATCCATTAGGTTTTAGGCTTTAAAGGGAGTCTTTAAGTTTGGCGTGTATTTGTTTTATTTTCCTATATAATGTTTTTGGATTGTATTCCCATAAAACTATGATATTCCCTACAATTACGAAGATTTTGAGATTGGGTGTTTTGTTATTAATAGTTTTAGGAATTTGAAAAAAATTGCATAGGTAACGGAAAATTAGTAAGGCCCATACTTAGTGGCTTACATTTATTTTATTACACTGGTCAACTATATTAATAATGCCTACATTATTAATATAGTTACACTGTTTGCTATACCAATAAATAAAGGTATAAGAAAACGATAGTCAGAGAATTCTATGATAACATCCAGATCGTTCTTTTTAATTAATGTTAATAACAATTTTGGTGAGCAACGAGCAGACGGATCACCTGATGGTCAGCAATCGGCGTCGTCCATGGACACCCGGAACATCAGAGGCGTTACAAGTGCGTTACCGGCCTTTTGGGGATTAAGATTTTGAGGATTGTTGAGAATTTTTAATTGGGCCTCCGGTATCCTCACTCACACGACGAAACACAACGCAAGCGTTGTTTCACGTCGGTTTTTTGATAGGTCGTGGTATCACTCCGGTCGAGCCGGCCCATTCGTGCCGAGGCATGGCTCTCCCACATCGTAACCTATTTGACGGAGGAGGTAGCACTTAAAGTAAACAATAACAATGCCATTCCAATTGCAAAACATATCTCGTTAATAAATAAGACTTAAGTATTATTTAATTCTAACTAATACTTTATCAATGTAATAAAGTCCATACCATAGACATATAGCAAAAAAAAACATTACTAAATAATTGTGTGGATTAAACATCATTGCCGGTTTATAAGGATAAGTGAGATGACTTGAGAGAATTAAAAGCTTTTCAATTTTGACCAATACAACGATGGAGCTCAAAATTTTACTAATCTCGGTCATTTAAGTAGATTCCGATAATATTAATTCCTACACACTCGCAGATCTCGTCCTTGTCTTATCTTTTTAAGCATGTTATTTAAACACAACTGCCTCGTTGGTCTAGTAGTTACAAGCGCGACTGCCGAGCAAGGGGTGTGCAATTCTTTCAGATTTTAGAAGGTTTCTGGGATACTCTGGGAACAATCTCGTAATTATACAACATATCATAGATCATATCAATCAATAGACCTAAATTCTATTACATGAGATTTTTAACATTTAACTAAGGAAAATTTGTGTAACATTGTGTACCTCTGTGTTCAAAGATTAAAAGTTAAACGGCGAGAATTTTAAGTGTCATAGTTGGACGTTGAACTCAAGACCTTATACTACATAGATTGATATGTCCCAGGTCCTGATGGATACACTGGTGATAATTTGGCTAACAATACTGTCATTAATTTAAACTATAGGTTTGTCGAAACATGTTTTGGTTGTTACTAAAATGATGTTCGGTGGCCAGCAGGTCAACCTATTCTTGTCTGTCGAATTTCTCTATTACATCTTCAACTTTATGGTATTGATAAAAAGTCGCAAATCCAATAAATAAATTTGACAGATTGGAATTGCCACGTCACCAATTGGAAAATATTCCATTACATCACCATTTGGAATAATGCAACCATAACAGCACATCATACATGCTTGTATGTTTATCGTAATTAACGTAAATATAAAGTCATTGACCGTAATTAGCAAAATTCTTGCCTTATCAAGACAACGGCTAAATATAGAATATCACAAAGAAAGAGATAAATTCAACAGATATTATGGTAAAGATACAAGTCTTATAACTCTAAGATATTCTTTTTTAAATGCAGTTATTGGGTATAAACACGTAGCGCCATCTATCAATAAAATAAAATTCGTAAACTTGTAAATAAAATATGTTAAAGACTCGATCGTTTGGCTTTAGCATGTATATCTATCTAGATATACATCCCCATTCTCATCCCCATACTCAAACCCCATTATTGGATTTGATCAGAGCTTCATAAATGTATCTAAGAGAAAAGACAAATTCTTCCAACATTTCATTTTCGTGTGATGCAAAAGATAATAATAAAATAAACATAAATAATGAAAAACGTAAATCAAAAACAGTTTTCACAGTGGTTCCCCAAATAAGAACATTAGCGAAAACTTACTTGAATATTCGAGAACCAACAGCCACAGAATTAATATTGAAACCTAATGAATACCAGGAAGCACATTTCCTACCATTACCTACATCTTGTAAGACGAAGGAACTACTCTCAAAGATGTTGAAGATTAAATGGATGTGGGCGACCGCCGGGCCGTATTATTCCTAATGCTTCATAGAAACTATTAGTGGAATATTGGCTAATTGGGGCACGTACGGTACCTCGTTTCACTAAGTGCAGGTGCTGCGGCGACCGCTTTTAGAGCCATTTATAATGTACATCAACAGACTTGGGGTTGCTCTCAGCACGTGTAAATACAAACGGCAACACTATTGTGTGAGTACGCCTCATTACTATTTTACCTTACACGGTTAATAGGTTTGTGCTTGTTTGTACAATTTCCTGAGGTGATTGAATTTCAAATAACTAGTTGTATGCCTGGTAAATGATAATGCTAACTTCTGCCCGCGGCTTCGCCCGAATTTTTTTATGATTTAAAGTAGCCTATGTGTTATTCCATACCATAATCTATCCTAGTCCCAAATTTCAAACACACGAGTATACAAACACATTAATACGCAAACACGCACACACACAAAATCGTAAATTCATAAAATTTGGTAACATTATGCTTTCTACAATATTATACGCGTGTTTATAGTAGATAATAGCACAAATGACATACGTAAAATTCCTCTGCAGCTGGCAAAGTATATTTCTCAGTCTGATATAGTATTACAGTACTACTACAGTGTCTTTATCATAAGCAATTTACATTGAATAGCTAGATCTAAATCTACACCTATATATTGAAATAAATCTAAAGCTTTTCAACATCCACAACTGCCAAACATTCTGTGTATATCGTAACTACCCACCACTTATTTTAAGGGCCTTCTACAATACGTTTGTCTACTTATATGTTTATTACGCTTCAGATAAATATATAGCTGATATTATTTTATACCAATTTACAAAAGATAGGAACTCATAAATAAATGATTAATTTAGCATTCGTTGTAGAATAAATAACTCCTTTATTGAGATTGTATCCAGTCGACGAAAGAGGTGACTCTGGTGTGGCCGGAAGGGTGGCCAGATCCACACGAATGTCCAAAAGAAATAACACCAATCTGAAAAAAAAGTAGTTTTGTTTACAAAAATGTGTTAATAAAATTGCATGTCAAGAAAAGAAAGTGCCGAACAGCAGTAGTCTAAATGATTTTCTGGTGATTAACACTATGAAAGAAATGTTAGGACAAAGTTTGAAACAATTCGCCAAATTCATGAATAATGTTAAAGAATAATTTTAAAAGTCAGCCTGCTCTTTCTGGAAGTTTTATAGAAACTATTAGATACTTACAACAATAGGTCTATTATTTGAGTTCACAACAACAGGTCCACCGGAGTCCCCGCCACATGCGCCCTTCCCGGCCTGTCCACTTGTGCAGATAATAGAGTCCGAAATAAAATTTCCGAACACTAACCTACATTCGTTATTACTTATGACAGGTGCAATTACTGAACTGATTGGCTGGTCATCTCTTATGGTATCACCTGTAAACGAAGAAAAAAATATATTTAAATAGGCAAGTGGTTCCTTTGAAATTGGAATGCGTTGACTAACTGAATGTAACGTCTGTAATCTAGAATGTGCGGATGCATTGTGACTTGGGAGAATTACACAGAGTTCACAATGAGTAGGTAAACTTCCTCGGATTTATCAAGTTAGTTATTTGGAAAATATCGTAGCAGGACTAGGAACAAAATATTTTCCTCTTTTCTTTAAATTAGACGGAATAACGCGATTACTACATTATAAATTTTTAAATTGATTATTTTCAAGGGTTTCATATCAATTACTATTTCCAGTAATAATACCAAAAGAGACTTCATAAATAATTATCCATTCATGTTCCTGGATATGGCTTCTAGAAGCATTATATACTTACTACGAAAATGATATCATTTTCGTAGTAAGTATATAATATTTATTTTTAATTAATACTTCGTGGCAACAAGATCGATCGATATAAAGGCTTATAGTAATACAAAGCAACATTTAATTAATCATTTCATATGTTCATTTACGTAAGCAATAATGGACTATAGTACCTGGCACTCTGCGTGATACTTAATTATACCTACAATATCAACTGAGATATCAAGGTGATCAATATCTAGTTGATGATTATCTTAATGGTATTAATAGTAACCTTAAAATAGGAGGAAAAAAACATTATAGAAAATATATATAAATAAATAGAAGATGCAAAAGAACATAGAAGAGAGAAACGCTAAAAGAAAAAAATAGAAAACAAAAAGAAAAGAAAATATAGAAAAGGAAATAAAAATAGCAATTACCATGAAATGTGACTCCGTATCCTGAAGCCTGAGCATACCACCCAACGAAGTTGTTAGTGAGCTCGTTGCCGCTGGGTAGAGCTATAGCCCTGATGGAAGCTGAAACGAGGAAGAAACATTTTTTTTAATAAACAAACATATATCTTAAAACGGTGTCATGGTGGACAACAAAAGAAGCTTGTTCTCCATGAACGTTTATGTAGACGACCAACCCCTGAATTTCTAAATTGATTGATTTGATTAATAGATTTCTGAAAGTTATTATAGACTTTCGAAAATTGTGTTATATATATGGGAAATTATTTTTTCCTTTAAAAAACGTTGCCCCACATTAGGATTTTCTCCTGTGTCGTAGGTGCGTTTACAAACATACAAGTTCACATACACAATGACACCCAAACCCGAAACAATAATTTGTGGATCACACGTTGCACGGCAGCCGGTTGCCCAGCCACCGCACCAGCCGTGCAGTCGTGCAGTGCAGTGTAGCAAAATAATATAAAATACTGTAAATATAGTGTATGTGTATTTCAAGCGATTGTAAATAATAATCGACCTATATTTTATACTAAATTGATTGATATCAATCTAATTAATTAATAGATATCGGTCGTTGGCACAGCAGTCGTTATACGCAAAGATATTTCTAAAAGACGTTCAATTTATATGTCATCGACACTATTATATTGAGAGTGATGGTATTGCATATTGTGGGGTACAGCTAAAGATATTAAATACAAGAAAAATTGTTCTTGAGTCATTACTTAGTTTACATGCCATCGAAACTGAGTCGTAGTTGGGTACAAAATTTGGATTTTCCCAATCGTCAATACTTAAAGGTATGATGTATAATCCTCTAAGCTATTTAAATCAAGATGATAAGTGTTAACTATATTCAAAAATAATAAAAATCGAATGGGTTTTTCATAGATATGGACCCTATTCTGATAACATTTTAGCAAGAGGAAGTTAAATTTACTTTTGAGTTACATTATCAGATAGAGACGTGAGTTATCAATAATGACATCCTGATTTTAAGGACCAACGTTCTGATGACGACACTAATGGCTAGACTACTTCCTAACACTTGCACAGTTTTAAAAAACTGAATGCTGGTTCCAAATTAGTTGAGAAAAGATCAAAAATACTACTGTCTTTTACACAAGCCCAATTCGTTTCAAAACAAAATTTGTCAAGACAAATGACTTGAATCGAAGCGTTGAAGAAGTAAAGGCTAGAGATAAACTATGACATTTTGATGTGATCCTTCTGAGATGAATCAGTTAATTTATCTAGGTTTTATGGAGGCATACCACTCTTTCAAGATTTATTACTATAGAATGATAATTTTATTCATAAGAAGATAAAAACAAGATGGATTTCAAAAACACTTACCAGTAAACGTGATTTGGTTTACACGAACGACAGCAATATCATTAGCGATGGTATTTGGATTCCAGTGAGGATGTAACACAACATCACTCGTTATAAACCGGAGACCACCGGAGAATAAAGCATTTGAACCTAGTACGATAGTAAAATGCTGAGCGGTGAACATTCCATCAAATTGGCAGTGAGCAGCAGTCAGAAGGCGCGTGGAAGAAATAATTGTCGCCCCACATACTGATGTGAAGAAGGACATAATGGTAACTATGATTCCAGCCTGGAAAGATAATTTTACTACAGTTGATAATAAAGAAGATGAAAAATATGGCTTATAAATGAAAAATTAAAATGATTTGAAGCTAAAATCCCTACATTGATTGAATTGTTCTACAGACAACCAATGTCAGAAATCTATCTTATTCCACTCCACACATTTTGTATTGAGATTGATTATTCATTTCAGCCGTTAGAAAGCATCAATAAAGTCATTACTAGCAATAAAACATACAAAAGAAAGCATACAAATAATAATTTAATTGATACGCACCTGATACGGTATTTCATTTACATCTTGAACTTGACCTCCTGAGATTTTAAGTAATTCTGAATTTCGTATCCTTGTGGCTTCGGGGATACCAATATTTATGTGGTAGCCGAAGACGGTATTGGCTTGAGCTGAAGGTATCTCGACTGCTGAGATAACCACGGTCAAGGCAAAACATACTACTCCCACTAACAGCTTCATTTTAGACAAGTCGGTTGACTGACTGAGTTGTAACATGTTTCAATTTATATATGTGTTTGTTTTAAATCTTATCGATCAGCAAATATAATCCACAAACTGATAAAATTGGTACAATTATGCAGGTGCGTACGTACCGTATTGTGACGTTTTATAGTTTACGTATTTACAGTGTAGTATTTTGTTAGATTCATTAATCGTTCATTTGTGATTGAATTGAATTTATCTAAGTATGTTAGCAAGAAAATGTATTGTTGTAAATCATTGCTTACTGTTTTCTTCGCTTACAGCAGTATGCTTGTATTGTATACTTGTGCAGTACTTATAGCTACGTCAGCATTCATACTGACACTAGGTACGTGTAATACATATTACCAAAAAAAAATGAAATTATTAAACTTATTTCATTTATTTGTTTTAATTTGTTTTTATTGAACAACATAAAAAGCGGCAATATAAATTAAACAATACAGTACGGTGGTGACATTGGAAATAAAAAATCATGCATGTTGAAAAATTTAATAATAATAATTTAATAATGTCATTACAGGGTTCTGTAGGTAAGAGATTACTGGGACTGCAGCCAGCCGACGTATGAGGTAACTCTGGCGAAGGCAGCGGGCAGACCAATCTGGCAACCGTCCGCGGCACCGAAGGAAGTTACTCCGATCTATAAGTGAAGTGTGACAATTATGTAGCAAGAAAAATTAATACTAATTCCAATAAAATTAAAGATGGAATATTTTAGGCTTATATTTCACAATTATTATTTTTAAACTTAGAAAACGTAGTGTTCTTACCAAGACTCTCCTGTTGTTGCTGTCAACGGCGAGAGGGCCGCCAGAGTCTCCGCTGCAGGTACCTCTGCCTCCAGCTCCGCTGGTGCAAATGTTGGTGTTGTGCACCCATGGGCCGTAGACACTGCTGCACTGGGCGTTGGTGATTACGGGGAGTACCACAGAGCTGACACGTTGGTTTGAACCGATGTTGGCACCTAACAAATTCAAATTAACTGAATTAGCCAAAATATATAGCACATAAATATAGCACACGAAACTAAATTATAAAATAAAAAAAAGTAAAGAATTCTAGCCGATTTAACTTTTAACGTTTTGGGAAGTACACTTACCATCAGCGGTAAGACCGAATCCGGAAGCAATAGCGTTCCAGTTGACGAAGTCGTTGGAGACCTCGTTGCCACTGGGCAGGGCGATGGGCTGGATTACATCTGGAAAAATTGTACAATTGTTATTGTGAGAAATATACATCACACTAAAATTGATTAAGCGTCACGTTGCAGTCATTAAAAATATTTATTATCATTAAATACTTACTGGTGAAAGAAACAGAGCTAATGCGGAGGATAGCAATGTCGTTGGCAGCAGTGGATGGGGTCCAGTTGGGGTGCATGACAACATCTCTGGTCTGGATACGGACACCGCCGGAGAAGAGGAAGTTGGATCCAAGCACAACGGTGAAGGAGTTAGCGGTGACGGAACCGTCCCAGTTGCAGTGAGCAGCGGTCACTATACGGTTGTGGGAGATGATGGAACCACCGCACACGGATTGGAAGATGATGAAAACTTGGATCACGAGACCAGCCTATACAAAATATACACACAATGTCAAATTATTGAATTATAAAATTATTATTTATTTTCTTGGGAATTATTGCAGAGGGAGAAAAAAGTTATTTTTAGATGGCCTACATCCTTTCATACTAGTAAGTAAAACAGGACTAGTCTTTTTGCTAAATAATTAAATACTTGACAAAGTTTTTAAAATTCTTGAATAGTTATCAAAACGTTGAATCATTATTCATATATGTATAATTTAGGAGCCAAATTGGGATACCGTCTGTAAATAAAATGCAGTCCGTAAATAATAGTGACGTTCTTGATAATCAGTTGGCTCAAATTTTAAATTTACCTGGTAAGGGACGCTGGAAATGTCAGTAACAGATCCTCCGACGATCCTCTGCGCGCTGGGGCTGGTTTCTTCCTCAGCTTTCTTGATCCTGGCAGCTTCAGCAATACCAAAGTTTTTGTGGTAGCCGAAGACTGGGTTCTCTGGAACTCCAATCTCCACCGCGGATGCGGCGACAGCCAAGCACACTACTGCGAGGAACAGTTTCATATTGATATTATCCACACTGCCAAGTGACTGTGTCTTGCCCCGTACCATTATTTATAGCATTAATTATACCTTATCACATTTTCGTTAATTCTTAATCTATACTGATTATGAAAAGACTACGTACAATAATTACCTAAAATGTAGATAACGGTGCTTAATTAATTCCTACTGCAGAGTGACTTTAACTTAATTTCAGTGTTAATGTGTGGGATTTGGAAAAACCATTATAAAACTGATATATAATAAATATCTGATCAAATACCGCCATGCAGAACATTCTACTTTCACACGTGTGCACAAAGCACAATCATTAAAATAGTCTACATCAAGATCGATTTCATAGGAACGTCTATAGGCCCTCTAAATATTTTGAAATTTATAAAAGGCTATAGCGAGACTTTTTGCTTCATCTTATGGATGACCGCAATTTGCTAGGATTTTTACGGGTAATTATAGAAACAGAACGAAATCAGTGAAATACGAATTGGTATAGCTTACCAATGAACATGCAAGCATATGCGCTGCATCTAAATCTATTTGCGTAGTATCTCTCACTTTTCCATTAAGTCGACGCAAAAATTCGGTGACAATTTGTAAAAATGTTTAGTAGATTTTTTCATGTCATATTAACGCTCCTTTAATGTATTCACGAAATCTGCAACAACACGAATGGCACGCGTGTTGTAGCACATATCTCTTATCGACGGTAACTGGTTTCTATCCGATGTACTGTTTGCAAACCTAATGGCATACAAAATTTGTAAAACCTACTTTATGGTGTTTATTTTACGAGCTATATGTTATAGGGGCCCATCTTTTCTTTACATATCATTAGATGCCAGGCATATTATATTTAAGTTCAGAACTGCCAAATACTCCATTAAGGAATGTGAATTTTGTATCGAAAACCAGTGAGACCAACGTTTTAAACTTGTATAGGTATTTACGATTCAATGCAAATAAATATTAATGTTTTGACACAACCGTCATAATAATATGTACTACGTAAACGTGTGCCTCCGTCTTACGCGATTAATTATAGTTATCATGACAATTTAATCCCCAAATGATTGGATCTAGATAGGAATTAATAACTATATACATGATAATTACGGAAAATACGTGATTATTTGACGTTTTCAATCTATACAATCTAAATTTAATAATGGCGTCCTGATTGATTCATCGATGCAGAGTTCAAAGCAGTGAAGGTACCATGGGTCCTGTAGATATTGACTACGGCAGACGTTACAGATTTTTTATAATATAAAGAGTTTATTTATAATCGAAGTTTATAATACAATTGTAAAATTATATTAAATAGACAATATATAGTATTCTAATTGATCTGAGAAATCAGAGGTCTCGTGATCGTTTGTGAAGATTCTGATGTACATAACTGTAGCTGTACATCACAAACAATTTTAAGTGTGGGAGAGCCATGCTTCGGCACGAATCGGCCGGCTCGACTGGAGTGATACAACACACACACAGAAAACCGACGTGAAATAACGCTTGGGTTGTGTTTCGTCGTGTGAGTGAGGTTCTTCACTTCTCACTATTTATGTTATAGAAACTAAACCCTTCTCCTAAGTGTAATAAACTATTTTCTGAAAACCGCATTAAAATCGATTTAGCCAATCGAGAGAAAATCGCGTACAAAAATGCTTGTTAGAGACATACATACATACAAATCAAAATAAGAACCTTTTTTTTTGAAATTTGAAATGAAATTAGTTAAAAAGTAAGTTATAATAATAAAGTACTTATTAAATATAAGCAAGTTTCTTGATTTGTGCAGTATGCATGGGCTCACAAAGAGATGGGAATCAAAGAGAGTTCATTAGAGTGTTGCGGTGTAGTCGGAGTTCGTAGGCAGTGAATACAGATAGGATTAAAGTTTTAACTCGAAGGGCGGCTCGCTACTGCAGTTGATTATCTTCCATAATTGTATTAGCTTAACAGGAACTCTGAGAAAGTAAATCATATTTTTCTAACCGAGAAAACCTTTTAGAATACGTTTGAATACTGATTGACTCTTTTCTTTCAGGATATAATGGTGAATGTGAATATTAGATTCCACTGAACAAATAATAGTGATAATTTAGATTTTTCGAATAATATGGAACAGTGCTGGTGTTGGGAAATAGATAATTATTAATGAACTATTAAATACCTTTACCTTGCACTTATTAGAAACGTTTACAATTCAAGATTGTTTTAAAGAAACTTTATTCCTGAAACAGAACAATGTTACCAAATAGCTAAAACGAGTTACGAACACGTCACATTTACACATTTTCCTGCTTTCGATGTTTTTCTAAAAGCTGCAGTTTTTCGCGCGAATAATCATGTGAATAGGGATGTGAAGTGTAAGTGTGAACTTGCAAGTAGGTCACGAAGACATCTAAGTCACCGTGAAGGGTAGGGGCTCGAATGACTTGCGCGGAAAGTGCCCTCAGTGGCTTATGCTAACTGCAACACCTATACTGAACTACTAACTCACTTTTACCTCTACATTGCTTTGCTTTAGAAGTGAATGGGTGCAAAGTTCCGTTTCTATTCCAAACTTGGTGCTCGCTCGAGTTTCCTTTCCGACTTGTGATTTATAGATTTTTGTTATTAGCTTGCTGAAGTTGTTGTTGTGTTTCGTTCTGCTGTTTGCTTGTCATCGTGTTAGGAATGCAATAACAAAAGAATTGTTATTGTTAACGTTTGACATGATTATTGTGTTAAGTGTTTGTATGCATGGAACATGTTTAGATGTAGTACTTGATTAGATGTATTTTTCAAAACAATTTTATACATATACAGATCAGATTGTAGTCTTGGTGTTAAAGACCTGCAGATATGGATCTTTATATTCAGTATCAAATTGCATTCTTGAAACATACGATGTATGTAAGTATTTTAATAGTAAACACATATGTTAAAACAAAATGTTTAACTATAAACCAGTCTTTAAAGTTTGGGGATTTAAATAGCACTTTCTCACTGGGTACTGTTATCGCGTAAAATTAACGGATGCACGGAAGTGCAGGAATTTTAAAAAGGCAAAGTTATACTGGTTGTTTTTACAAAGGAAAAATCTTGTAGAAGATAATACAAAGCGCGAGGGCGGGAGCAGGCTGTGGCGGGCGGGTGCCGTGTAATCCACCAACACTTGCCGTAAACCCACTCGGAGACTTCTTTAATCTTGTATTTTTTGGAATAATGTTATTTTTTTATTTAATTTCTATAACCAAAATTTCTTAACTCTTCGTCAAAGTAAAATTCTAATCTTTCTCGGAAATTGTTTAGATTTCCTATTAGTTTCTGTCGTTAAATTATCGGTAGGTTTCTGTTAGTTTGGCTATTCGAATTTCAGTTCTGAATGTGGAAGATTCGTCAAACTATCTACATCACTACATCTAAATTAGACTAATTCAAACTTAATCAGAATGCTAACCCAAAATCTAAATCTTTTTACTCTAAACACAAATTATAGCTACTCTACAAATGCCGCTAGTCTTAATAACAGGTCAAGTTTAAAAGAGGTTGCACTAAATTTTCGACTCTAGCGACAAATCTACGGTGAAATACTGAACTACTAAAGTATTGTTTTAAAACTGGGACTTTTTATTTTGGGGGAGGTAGTCCGATAGCTATTGTTTACTAGAGTTTGTGTTAATAGATAATGTGATGGAAAAGTAATTAAAATCATTTTCAAACATTTTAAAATGTGATATTTACTTATGAGTTGAGGACGTCCAAGAATCATTGGAAATCTGAATCGAATTATAAACCAAGTTGTAATGATTTGAATATTGTAAACTTTCTAGTAAAGTAGATTGAAATCAATTTGCTACATAAATCGAGATAATTTCGTTACACTTTTATATTTCAGTTTTTCATTTCCATTTCAGTTCTCATTCCTATTTAATGTGCATTTAAATGCAAATAAGGTTCTCTTTGATTTTATTTTTCGAGAAGCTGAATAGTAAAACACGACGTACCTATATACCGTTGGCCCAGTGACACTCATTTTCTAGTCGACTGGCGTTCTTGATTTCCATTTTCACAAGGAAATGTGTCTATAAAATCGAGAGAACCGCATTCCCAGTGTCGTATGGAAGGGTGTTTATATATTTTCGCTGGACATTCACGCTCGCTGCATTTTCATGGAGTGCAGGACAGTTTACACCCTCGGTAAATTCGTCCATAGGGATGTCTCCCGCTTGGTGTCTTCGGCTCTCGAGTGTTTTATAGCCGTTGACTAAATTTACTGCTCAGTATATATTTCGTAGGTACACAAATATATTTCGTTTGTTTGGGGCTTGGGCGGCGGCCATTTTGTATCTCCGTGTAGGTGACGATCGGAATCGAGCAGTTTGATAATGTATTTTCCTATATAAAAATAATGTGTGTAATAATCCTACGAAAAAAAATTAAATCCTAATCTTACCTATTCGTAATCAAAATTAGTCTCGACCAACCCATCGACGCATAGTATTTTACTACTTTTAACTTGACTTGTTCATCATAAGATACAGACATGTAGGAGAGCCATGATTCGGCACGACTGGGCCGGCTTTACCAGAGTGATACCACGGCCCCACAGAAAACCACCGTAGAACAACACTTCCATTGTGTTTCGTCGTGTGACTAAGATTGTCGGAGGCTAAATTACCCTCCTCCCCAATCTTCTCAGTCCCCGAATCCCCAACAATCCTTAAATCCATAAACCCCAAAACGCCGGTAACAACTTGTAACGCCTCAAGTGTTTCCGATGTTCATGGGCGGCGCCGATTGCTTACCATCAGGTGATCTGTCTGCTCGTTTACCGACTTATTCCATAAAAAAATGAAATGATTCCTTAATATGATAAAGTTTCAAGTGATTCCTTGGTAAAAGTTTGATGACACAACTAAGTCTCGTAAAAAGGTAATTAAAAGTTTGTAACATTAAAAGTGGATGTACTTGACTTCCTAATATAAGGCCAAGTAATAGAAGTTCATATT